ACTTAAATTGTCACACCGTGGTTCTATATATTTATGGTTTTATTCGTCTGAATTTTGTTTGATATTTTTTCATTAAATTGAAATTTGGTTATTCAAAAAACAACGCCCACTCGAACTTTCTTTTCTCTTTGAATATATTATACTGTTAAATTATACATCATTTTAAACTTCTTACCAAAATGTGTCACCCGCTTTTCGGCTAATACGATAGCCCCTAGCTATGGCGGGACGTTCATGAGGTTTTATATAATTACGTTCGTTCTAGTTTATAAAAAGGCAAAAAATTATTTAGTATTTAGTAAAAATATATACGTAGCTCTTCTTTTTATTGAACAGCTTGTCTTTTATTCGGTCAGTGTTCGTATCACATTAAGTACAAAGTACTGGATTGAAAACATGGCCAGTGCAATTATAAATTTATTTATTTTCGTCTTTAAAATGTATTGCAATTATCGGTATAACTTTCCACGTTACAATACAAAGAAGAAATCACGTAGAAAATAATAATATAATAAATCTACGTAACATATATAATATAATATTATGTGACCACAAAAAATGTTTTAAATACATGTGACATTAATTCGAAATATTTTTGGGACGGTATATTTCAAGAATATAAGAATATTTATAACTCTATTGCCTATTTTCTTTTTATGAGAAGTTTAGAAGACATATTCTCTTAAATATGCGGCTCTGTGGCGCAGTGGCTTAGCAATGAGTTCCTGCGCTGGAGGGCGCAGGTTCGAATCCCGCACGGAACAAGTATTTGTATGGCCTACAAATAATTGTTCCGGGTCTGGATGTTTGTCCTTGTGAAATTTGTGTTTGTAAACTGCCTCCACGATACAGGAGCAAATCCTAGTGTGGGGGTAACGTTTTCAAAAAATAAATAAGAATAATAATAAATAATGTCTTACCAAACACGAGTGTACAACCAAGTCAAATAGAGCAATTTATGGATTGGTCTATGTACCTACTTTTCTTCGTCATCATTATCATTATTCTGCTGAAATGGTTTGGCCATGTCGAGAGAATGATTGAAGAACGATTGACGAAAAAAGTGTACAAGGAGAGTGTGAATGAAAGTGCTGGAAGGGGTAGACCTAGGCGGACATTTCAAGACCAAATCAGGGACGTCTTGAAAAAAGGCCAGGTCAAGAACACCCTAAACCGTAGAGCATATATGAAGAGAATAATGAAAGTGGACGAAGCGAAACAAGTATGTAAGGATCGCAGCAAGTGGAAATAAGTGGTCTCTGCCTACCCCTACGGGAAAGATGCGTGATTATTTGTATGTATTATCATTATTAGAGCTCTTTACAAGTTCACTGCTGAACATAGGCCTTCCTCAAGGAATACCACAACACAAGGTCTTGAGCCACCTGCATCCATCGACTTCATTCATATCTTATCTGGTCGTCACTCCCATCTAGTGATGGGTTCCCCTGCACTTTGCTTACCGGTGGGAGGCTGCTACTTGAGAACCTTTCTTTCCCATCAGTTGCCCGTCCTTTGAGCTACATAATCGGCTCATAGCCATTTCAATTCACTGATCAGTAAGGCTATGCCGTTTACCCTGGTTCTACTGTGTATATATTCAGCTGATGATACGCTGTACCGTTGCAGCACACAATTGTCATAATGTTAGTTCTTATTCAATTAATTAAATATTTAATACACGGTTTCTTGAACTTCTACCGTATCTTGGGCGTACATTAAAATGAATGAAGCTATTTCTTTATCGGATTTTAATGAAATTGTATTTATTTTAAATACCCGACGCGACGTTTCAAGTACCTACATTGCAGCTGCAGCACCCATTGTTTCGGGGACTGAGATTTTCAACGTCATTTCGATATTATCTATATAAAATAAACTCCCTGAGTATTAAGTTGACGTTTGGGTTTGACTTTATTTTATTAATCGTTAGATCCCTTGCCGATGAAATGTAATTAATATAATAAGTTCGATAAACCACTATGGTTTTATAGGTTTCCTAAAAATACACAAAACAAGCGCTCTACTACGTACTAATACTAATACTAAGAGAGATCAAAGTATACATACATACATAATACATAAACACTCACGCCTGTCACCCAGAGGGGTAGGCAGAGACTACGGACTTCCATTTGGCGCGATCCTGACACACCTCTCTCGCCTCTTTTACATCCATATATCTACGCATACACGCTCGTCGGTTATGGGTACTCCTAATCTGGCCCATTTTTAATGTATCGCCGATTTGGTCGATAAACCTTCGTCTAGGGCGTCCCTTCCCGACCCTGCCGTTCACTTCCGCAACATAAATTTGCTTTGTCACTCTTTCCTCGTTCATTCTTTCTACATGACCAAACCACCGAAGCATTCCTTTCTTAATCCTTGTCACAACGTCATCTTGCAGACCACACTTTTCTCTTATCACACTATTTCTCACCCTGTCATTCAGATTCAGCCCTAGCATACTCCTTAAGGAACGCATTTCTACAGCATTTATTCTACTCTCATGCTTCTTCTGCCAGACCCAACTTTCACTACCATACATTAAAGTAGGGACTAACACAGCATTATGAATTGCCATACATGCCTTAGTTGACACATTCTGACTCCTCATAATAGCGTGTAGAGCCCCCTTCACTCTATTTCCTGCGATCAAAGTATCTATTTATAGATTGGCCCAACATTTATCAAACATATTTTCACCGCTAAGTGCAAACTCAAAAGATTCCGTGCAATTTTGTCAGTGAGATAAGATAAGTCTTACTTAAATTAATTCAAATATGAACTTTGTCATGAATGTTGTTAGATTATAAAACGTTATGTGGGTAGTGAGATTGGGGTAGTCCTAGTTAAATCATTAAAACTAGCAGCTGCCTCATAAAAATAGACTTATGGTATGTCCTGCCGATAAGTACTGTACTCTAAACAGCTAGTGCTGATAAGAGACCAGTAATAAATAATAATAGATCGTCCGCGGTGCTTTTTAAAGACCGTTCCACTAATTTTATCTCTAAAATAATTTGTACAAGCGTTGACCGCGCGACTTTTGAGATAGTTTGGACTCACTGATATTAAAACAAACTATTTTTTTTTTAATTTTACACCTTATATAGTAATCAGAAACAATAAAATTGTAAATTATAAAAACCTCAATGTAACACCTTAGTGTATAAATACAATCTTATCTAATTAATACATTTTTCTATTTCAAATTCAACCAAATACTTGCATCAGCGGTTATAGTCCAAATCTGAGATAGAATTAAATATAACATATAGACAATATTCGAGGAAGTCATAGCGCTACTTACGAGTATTAATCAGCCTGATCAACTTATTAAGAATGTTATGTAAACTGCTATTCATATTATTCTGTGAGACTTCTCAATAGCACTTGGACAAGACAGATAACATTCAACATACGTATAAGTAAATCAATATTATAGTCTTGATACGTAAGAAAATTCACCGAATAACATATTTTATCAAAGTTGCTTTGGTATACTGCAATACAAGTGGCATACCTACAAACAAAACAATTCTTATCAGGAATAATACTTTGCGGGTCAGAAGTCCAAAAAGAAAGTGAAATATAATGGCGTTGAAGATTTCTCAAAATATTCATTTGAATTATAATAACATTTAGAAATAAGGATTTTTTTAAATTGCTTATTATATGATTAGAGCTTTTTAAGTTTTATAAATAATTGGATATATGGTTATAAATTTTCATAGACACAGTGATGTGATTAGTTTATTATTAATTTTTATGATTCTATGTGACTCGACGAAACTTATTTTAATTTGAAGATTCTAAGCTTATTTAAATTTCTATTGCTTCTTTTAGTAGTTACTTATTATATGTAAGTAGAATTTTGAGTGCGTCATGACTCGAGGATGTAAATAGACATAACATTAAATATCTTATACAAAACGTTAAATATAAAATACTGACATTTTATGTTTAATGATTTTATATTTATTTCTTATATTTACGCGAACACTACACATTTTTAAATAAAACTAATTTTACGGATTTTATCGCGTATATTAACTTATTTTTAACTTATTTTTATATTCCCGACGTTTCGGGTGCTTTCCAGCACCCGTGGTCACGGGGGACTCCCCCGTGACCACGGGTGCTGGAAAGCACCCGTGAGTGTACCAGAAACGAGGCATTTCATCTTACTCCTCGGGGGTGACAACGTATTTTGATTCTTATTTAAGAATAGATGTAGATGTCTATGGACCACAGCATTCTATATCCCATTATTCGATAAAAAACATAACATAAACAAGTAAATTGTTAAAACAGAACGCACTCTAACTGCACTGTGATATAAAATTATACTAAAATAAGTACAACAAGTAACAGAAGTACATTTAATGAACAAGAAAACTCATGAGATGTAGACGAATTAATTATATCAGTAAACAATAATATTGAATATAGACAGACCAAACGACTACATCTATTCTTAAATAAGAATCAAAATACGTTGTCACCCCCGAGGAGTAAGATGAAATGCCTCGTTTCTGGTACACTCACGGGTGCTTTCCAGCACCCGTGGTCACGGGGGAGTCCCCCGTGACCACGGGTGCTGGAAAGCACCCGAAACGTCGGGAATATAAAAATAAGTTAAAAATAAGTTAATATACGCGATAAAATCCGTAAAATTAGTTTTATTTAAAAAAAAGATTTTATATTTGTTTACCCGGCGGTGGGGCTTCTTTCTGTCTAGGAGTTATAGCAGTGTTTGCATTACTGTGTTCAGTTCAGAAGCGTATAGAGAGCTATTAAAATTACAAGCTGTTAGGCATTCCATCTTAGATCTGTATCCTTTGTTTGAAGATGGCTGCAGATGTCAATGGACTGCAGCAACCACTTACCGTCCGGTTAGTGGTTACTTACGCTTATAGGATTTCGTTTGGTCTGTCTATATTCAATATTATTGTTTACTGATATAATTAATTCGTCTACATCTCATGAGTTTTCTTGTTCATTAAATGTACTTCTGTTACTTGTTGTACTTATTTTAGTATAATTTTATATCACAGTGCAGTTAGAGTGCGTTCTGTTTTAACAATTTACTTGTTTATGTTATGTTTTTTATCGAATAATGGGATATAGAATGCTGTGGTCCATAGACATCTACATCTATTCTTAAATAAGAATCAAAATACGTTGTCACCCCCGAGGAGTAAGATGAAATGCCTCGTTTCTGGTACACTCACCACACGGAACACAGCAAAATTGAGCTGCTATTTTACAGTTATTATTTATTATTTTTAGTGTTACGACCATAACATACGTGCAGCATGGCTCTACCATGTTACAACTTATTGGTCACTTCAGGTACCTAGTTGAGTTAATACGATTAACAAAGATTGTATGATTAATTTCAAACTGGAAATAGTAAGTAAAAACAAAATTAGTCATAGATCATAACACCTAGCGGATTTCCCTCGTCCCTCGTGACAAATCTGTTTGATCTGTTTGAAATTCACGGAATCGTAATGCGTAGCGCAAACAAACATACTGACTGTATACCAATCAATTTTAGGCATTTAGACAGCCGCATTAGATAGCGCATTACGCCTATTGTAAACACTGTTGTCTATCGAACGGAACTGGACCACCACGTTGATATACTTACTATCTGTTTTACAATTGCATTTTAATGACGAGCATATATTACTATAGCGTAAAACGGCCTCATCCAGTATACTGAATATACTCTGTTTCAGTATACTCTAATTCCTTGTTATCCACCTGCGTGCGTGCTCATAGCACTTGTTACGTAATAAATGATGAATGATATTTTTTTAATTACACTCTTGACATCTTTATATAATCCATCCATCCATCCAAATTGTTTGTTGTTGCTGATTTAATGACTTGATAATGATTGAGTTTGATGTGTTAATTTTAGTAAAACTGAAATTTCCAAGAATAAACAAATTTGCATGTCTCCCCCAGGTACTTAGTATTCCCATGTAAGATACATACAAAAAAGTAAGTAAAAAAAATTTGCCACGTTCGCACAGAACACCAGCGTGAAATAGCAGTTTAATGCTGCTGTGTTTCAAATGATGAGTAACAAGAAAAAAAGACCGATTTTACTGGTTACAATTACGAGGCATTCCATCATAGTTCTCAGGGGTGACAAAACGCAGTTGTATGTTGAATCTTAATAGAGGATAATGTAGATGTTTATGGGTCGCGTAGCATCCACTTACCATCGGTTGAACTATGTACTCGTTTGTTACCCCATCCTTAACTCCTATAAAACCACTTCTTGGCTAATAATTAACTAAAATAAAATAAATATCGCATAGAATACTAATACGTAAAATAGCAGCTTAACTCTGCTGTGTTTCGCATGGTGAGTGTAGAGAACCGGAGACCCTTTTTACTGGAAAAGAGGCATTCCATCTTAGTCCTAACGGGTGACAGCGCATCTGCATTTTAATTCGCAAACGAGGACAAATGTAGATGTCTATGGGCCACAGCAACCACTTACCATCAGGTGGACTGTGTGCTCGCTTGTCACCCTATCCTATAATAATAAAAAATAATAAAATAAATGAGGGTCGAAAAAATACTCTCTATATTAGACACTATCCAAGTGTCCCATGGTGCATAGAAATCAAACTTCGTTGTCGAATAGTTAAATACTTCGTTATGATTACATCCTAGCACAAGTTTACAGCTGAATAGGCCACCCTGATAGATCACAAGAAAACACGGTCCTGAACCACCTGCATCTACTTCCATGCTGTACTTTGGTAATCCATTATTGACATTTTCAGTAAAATAAAAACTGTTCACATTTTGATAGCTATATTATGTTGTTCACTTTTAGGCATATTATTATATATTTTAGGCATATTTACGAAGCTATCTCTAGGCGTACAGCTCAGACGCAGTGAGGTTATTAATGAGCAAAGTCATTGATTGAATCATTCAGATATCACGGATCATGTAGGTCACACCAGTAGATCATGGAAATGGGTCATCAGACAATCAAGGTTCCTTAATGATATGTAAGGAGGGTAATTTAGTTTCACACCGTTATGGATAAGGTCACTGTTACACCTTCCGGGCAGGCCTGCATCATCTTTATTGCAACTTTTTACCAAGTTTTTATTGACTCGTTTTCGTGTATGTCTGTTTAGGGTCTAATTTGGTAATTGATTTTAAACTAATTTCCCGATGAGCTAGATACTTGAAATTTTGAACATAGCTCAGAGTTGGATTAATATTATGTTTTTTTTTTCCTCATTAATTATTTTTTAATAATCTAAAGCCAATGTTTAAATACACAAAATATCTTTATGCCTAACTTAAATAGGATAAATTAGAATAAATTTAGGATGCTGTGTCAGACTCTCGGAAAACGACTGGGATTACAAACGAGACTCGGCGACTTGATACCTCGTACTTTGCTGTTGGTAGAGACCTGCCTTTGTCTATCAACGATCTGAATCACAAATAGCATATAGTAATAGAAGCTGTTGATTTTGTTTTTGTCTTGGGTGTGAAAATCTAAAATTGTAAATATTTTTTTTTGAATTTTCCATATTTCAAGTAAATTAAGCATACATTATTCGAAAGGAACTATGCACTAGATGTGTTGACAAAAAAAAAGTGTGTATATGTTGCCGTTAAGGCAAGTAAAATAAAGTTAAGATAACATAACATACACACATGATGTTTTCCATACAAAACGCTTTGACCAATAAAATGGCCAAACAACGAAACGCGATAATTTGTTAATTTATTAATCATGATTTTTATATTTTTATTCAGAGCTCTTTGCTATTCCTGTTCCTCGGATGCAGCGGAGTTTTATCAGCTAGACTATGCTGCACAAACAACGAAACTATCAAGTTTCGAGGCTTCTGTGGCGACGAGTCCAAACGAATCGACTTGAACTGTACCAACGGTCGCATGCTTCTCAAAGACATTATCCTTGAGGGAAATAAAGTCTCTACGCAAGACTCTCCTGGATTCGTTTTTGTGGAAGATCCTAATGAGTTAGTATAATATATTGTTTTACACACTACCTTAATAAGACTGTCTTGTGGTTCTCTAGATTTGCGCAGCGTAATGAATGTAATCGACATTAAACTAACTGTTGTTGCAATGTTGCAAAAGTAATCCCCTTCTTTTAACCCATTTTTATTTTATTTTATTGAATAAGGTACACAAACAGACAGTAATTATATACAGTTTTAAAATTAAAAGTATGATGGTGTTTATCTAAACTACAATCCAAAAAAAAAGTGTACACAGCCTAATAATATAACTCTAGTAGAATAACAAAAATTAACAAGATAAAAAAATACATTAAAAATTAAGATAAACACGTAAATTTCTTTTAAATCTAACAAGGCTACTATCAAATATCTATATATAGTTTAATCTCGTCGTAATCACGGCACATTTTGACAACAATTTAATTTACCTAAAGAAGAAGGTTCGCAATACCACAGATTACTAAATAGTTTACTAAAGGCAATACTACTATTTATGGCACGAGAGTATGTAACGATATAGTTACTCCCTTGTTAATTTACCGATTTTGCTGCTTTCTTCCCCAGAATGCATTAATACAAATTAATTTTAACCATATCCTACGGTGACCTAAGTTTAAGTTATATTTACTTTTAAATAATACTTTTTTTTATATTCTACTAAGCCAAAGCTTATCTACGATCCCACCTGATGGTAAATCGTGATGTAGCCTAAGATGGTGAAGCGCACTGACTTAACAAAAGTCTATTCACTCTTGCCTTGAAGACATCCACACTGTAATCGGATGGAAAGACAGATGCCGGCAACTTATTCCACTTCTTTGCTGTACGCATGAGAAACGTGTGAAACTTAAGAAGAAACGTGTGAAAATGTGTCAATTCTTTAGGCGCAAATTGTTATGTTCTGTTTTTTAAATTTCAGGTACTGTACTGGTGTAATGGATCGTAACGCAAGTGATTCGAGTAAGGGCCAGGTGCCGGTGGCGGTGGTGTGCTTCGAGGACTTGGGCCGGTCGTACGAAATAGAGACCGGTGGGATTCTAACGCTGATTTCCGTGTTCTTTCTAGCAGTCACCTTCGCTGTGTATATGTATTTACCACAAATGAGGTTTGTGTATGATTGTAAATTACAGCGGTTTATTTCCGTCGATACGTAAACCACATATTTATAGTTAGTTAATCAGTACCAGTTAAGAAATTGTGTTGGGATGGGGTTGTGTATAAATATAAAAAGAATATACATAAATGACTTTAATGATTTCTTATATTTACGCGAACACTACACATTTTTAAATAAAACTAATTTTACGGATTTTATCGCGTATATTTTAATATACGCGATAAAATCCGTAAAATTAGTTTTATTTAAAAAAATAAATGACTTTATTATTATATCTTAATAGGTACTCGAGTGGCCTCATACAGCCTCATACAGGCAAGCGAAGTGTAGGGCGTCCACCTACTAGATGGAGTGACGACCTGGTAAGACATGCAGGAAGTCAATGTATGCAGGTGGCTCGGGACGGAGCTTTGTAGCGTTCCTATTTTCACAATGGACTTATGATGGGCTGTAATGATGATGATGATGATGATGATGAGGTACTCATTTACAAAGACGTTGATGAGATTAATACCTATCATATAACTTACTATATCTAATAATACCTAACATTATAGCAATACATTTACATTGAAGCGTATTTTTAGAAATTCGAGATGTACTTTTGTTTTAATTAAGTAAGGTAACAAACAAGCACCCAGTTCGCCTGATGGTAACCGTTTAGTTTTTGTAATTACCCCTGAGGACTTAGTTAGAATGTTCCTGGTCAGAATGTCATCACTCACCATACGCAACACAGCAGCATTATGCTGCCCCTTTAATTCTAGTGTTTTAGCGTAGTTCTTCTCAGGTCGAGTCGACCTATTCGTGATACAGCTAAAATACAGTTTCACTAACCTTACCGTTAGCGTTTACAGCATATTAAAGTCCACTGCTGAACATAGGCCTCCCCATAGATTTCCTCATGGCAGGGATATTTGCCATAAATGCCACGCTTAGGAAGCCAGTTGGCAACCGCAGTGTTTTTATTTTTAGACGTTAATAGGAAGACGCTGCCGTTATCTCCTGATTTGTTTCCCTCTGTCGCCTCTTACGACACCCGCGGAATGATATGGGGATATCATTCACCTTAACAATATTAAATTAAATGAAACGGAAACAGGTATATGAATGACAAAAGCTTTTACAAAAATTTACTTCGCAAATATCCGCGTTATAAAATAAAATGATGTGTCTTACCTAGTATGAAGAAGCACCTCCCGCCCTCCCTCAATTGCGTGCACTAACCCCGTCACCACTAATCCCAGCACCGCTACTCCCAACACCACTAACACCGCTAACCGCTAAGTCAAGCTTCTTAGCGGTTAGCCACCGTAGAGTCTATATCACCTGAGGATGCCTCGTGTAGAGGCGAAACACGTGTCGTATTATCGTCAGTGGTGTGTCTTGCCTAGTGTAGTGGTGTTGGGAGTAGCGGTGCTGGGATTAGTGGTGACGGGGTTAGTGCACGCAATTGAGGGAGGGCGGGAGGTGCTTCTTCATACTAGGTAAGACACATCATTTTATTTTATAACGCGGATATTTGCGAAGTAAATTTTTGTAAAAGCTTTTATATAATGGATTTCCGCAAAGTAACGCCTGATTCTATTAATTATATGAATGACAGACAAATTATTTACTTTTGTTAGTTATTTATAATAAACAGTATTCCGACAATGTGGCTTTTCAAAATTATCAAATTCTCTTCTACTTTGTGCTACATATAAATAAGAAAAATTTGTTGTTTCGCAGAATTTCTCTAACATAATAATGTTTCAGGGACCTACAAGGCCTGTGCTATATGTGCATGTGCATCAGTATGGCTTTAGGATTCCTTTCGCTAGCAGTGCTCCAGCTCGGTACTCAGTTCGCAGGCGAAATTTGTACTGTCACTGGTAAATATCTAAAATGCTTCCATTATAATGTTTTAATTTTCAGCAATTGAATAATGCAAAACCGTCTGCTCGTTTTTACAGGCTTCATGGTGTATTTTTGGATGATGGCAACATTCTTTTGGATGAACGTAATAAGCATTAACATGTATCGGACTGTACAGTGAGTTTTATTTTTAAATATTGTTTAAATATCAAGGATAATGAGTGGTATGTGATGAAAGTCGCAATCTCATCCTGTAGTTGTTGTAAGAGGCAACTGGAAAAAAACGGCTGAAAAATCTTGTCGCCTTTGTCTGATGGCGGTATAGCAATCTCTTTTTTTATAGGATAAGGATGACAAATGAGCACACAGTCTACTTGATAGTAAGTTGGTGCTGTGGCCCATAGACCTCTACATCTATCCTCGATTAAGAATCAATATGCAGATGTGTTGCCACCCCCGAAGACTTAAGATGGAATGCCTCGTTTCCAGTAAAAAGGGTCTCCGGTTCACTCACCATACGAAACACAGCAGCATTGAGCTGCTATTCTGTGAGACCGTGGTCCTTCCCCGGTCGAGCCGATCCATTCGTGCTACAACTATACAAGTAATATAGCTGCAGCATGGCTTTACCACGTAAATTTCGTTATGCGTGTAAAAATTACAAACCAGTGACGGGGAGCAGCGTAGGTATAACGCGCGAGACATTTGTTGCTGCGATTATCTATTCCCGGCACATAGTGCATTATATAGATAATATTATACAATATCTGAGGCAGGGTTGACTGATAGAGAATACCTAAAGGCAGTCCGCCCTCTGTAACCCACAAAATTAACTAAGATATGAACAATTTATTTATATATTTAAATCAAACCAAGTGCTTGACAGGATACATTTCCAAAACACCAACACATAATCATAAAGTACATTTATGTCATGCAAATTAAAATAATAAATTGTAAAGAGAGAAGTAATAAAGCGTAGATATGTAAATAAGGTGAAAATTTGCAACACTTGCAGAGACGCAGCCTACTTGAAGAAGACTGAAAGAAAGCAGTACTTTTGCTACAGCTGCTATGCCTGGGGGTGCACGCTTTTGTTACTCTTCGTGGCGCTTATAACTAATTTCGTAGAAGGAGAGCACTGGAAACCTGGCTTCGGCCAAACCAGCTGCTGGTTTCAAGGTAAGAATGGAAAAATGACTGCATCAATAATTATACGAAGCTGATGTTAAATTGATTATAAAAGTTTAACATAATTGTAATAAAATCTAATAATTGTTATAGGACCCCTTTGCCTTACATGCATCTTAGTCCTCAGGGTTGAAAAACACATGTTGCCTTTCTTTGTATAGAGTGAGCTGCAGGTGTTTTGGGGTGTAGTAGCTATTTTGTCAACAGTTGGACGGTAGACTCGGTTGCCAAACAATTATAATAAAAATTGCGATGAAATGCACTCATTATTACTAGAAGTCTAAAAAAAAATTATATTTGAAATAACATTATGTCTTTTAAAATTTAGAGAAATTTAATATTTTATTAGAGTTCTGCAATTAATATTATTTATATATTATATTATTAAAACTATTTGTACAATATGTTATATCAAAATATATATTTTATATTATGAAGAAGCTCAATGTCGCTCAGCGAGTTATGGAGAGAGCTATGCTCGGGGTTTATCTGCGCGATAAACTTAGAAATGAGGATATCCGTAGCAGAACCAGTGACCGATATAGCCAACGGATTAGTAAGCTGAAGTGGCAATGGGCCGGCCATATAGCTCGAAGAACCGACAACCGATGGGTAAGACAGGCTCTCACGTGGCAGCCTCGTACTGGTAGAGGAAGTGTAGAGCGGCTCCCCACCATATGGAGTGACGACTTGGTGAGACATGCAGGAAGTCGATGGATGCAGGTGGCTCAGGACCGTGCTTTGCCGCATTCCTTGGGGAAGGCCTATCTTCAGTAGTGGACTTGTGAATGGCTGTAATGATGATTATTTCAAACACACCAAACTAAGCGCTAATTTTTGCACAGACAACTTTGATAAAAATTGGCCGTGTGTGTTGGTATTTGGAGGCGCGTAAATTAGTTTCGCTACGCAAATATATCTCTTAAATTTCTATAATTTAAATTAAATAATAAAGCGTTCGTTATAATTTCATTTTTATAGCATTATGTTTATTATGGAAAATTAAAGTGCTTATACATTTATTTCAAGAAAAACCTCATTCTTAAAGCTAATAATTATTAAGAAGATCTTTGTAATGATACCTAGAAAATTAAAAGTTTTGACTCCCCTAATGACAACGAGCGGTAAGTCTATAATCTAATTCGGTCATAACTCAAAAGTTATGATGTCTCAGGTGTACTTCGTTCTTAGGTGTAACACCTGAGGGCATACGGACAAAATAACTACTTGTATACCTTCTACTCGTTAATAAGGATAGAAGAAGTCGGTATGATTGAGCAAAAATACTTTGATGCTAATAGGTGCTTCATCAACTATAATTTTTGAGACTCTAGAGTCTAGACTCTAAGCTTTAATTCGCCATAATTTTTTTCGTTTTCATATGGCTTAATAGCGTGTTTATTAAAAATAGGGACACAGATATACATATATTTTTATAATTCCAGGCCGCACGGAAACTTGGATATTCTTTTACGGTCCGGTCGCGATGCTTATTACGGCCAACGTCATTCTCTTTGTCATGTCGTCTTACAACTTGTGGATGCAGCACACAAGGAAATACGAAGTCAGCAAGTTAAACAACCTAAAGCATAAGTAAGCAAACATAAGTTAGTAATGACGATACTAATATAAAATAAGCAAAGTAACAGCAGTGCACCCACTGTAAGTTGGTTGGAGCAGGCACAAAATTTTAGTTGTTTATGTATGACGTTGACTACAGGTGGTACAACTCACGGGGGGTTACAGTACGTCACTTATTATCAGTTGGCCTATTATAAAGTGATAAAAACATAAAAGTTCTGCAGGTAACAGTGCACCTATAATTTCTGAAAGCGTAATAGACCAAAGAAAATTCAACAACACTGATCATTATAAGCTAGCTAATATTTATATTGTTTTAATTTAATTAATAATAATAATAATGTCCTCTAGACCGAATTACGGTCACGACGGCCAGTCTCAACGGAGACTAGCCATCGACGCAGAACAGGATTATAGTGCCCAAGTGTATGCTCAAGCACAGGTGCACTCTCTATTCCCTCATTCTCATAGTCCGATGGGACAATAAACCGACACAACCGGAGAGAGATCAGACGCAGGACCAACGTCTTCAGGTGCTTTCCGAAGTACGGGGGTGCGACACCGCCAACTTTCTGACTCCGGGCAGCTACTGAGAATTTCTTGATGGAAAAACTCAATAATAGATTTTTTTTGCCCGACTCTGGATTTGAACCCGGGACCTCATGATAAGCAGCCGCACCACTGTAACCACTAGACCAACGAGGCAATTTTAATTTAATTATAATTTAATTGAAGTGACGAACGAACTTATATTCCACCTGATGGTAATTGGGTACTGCAGTCCATAGAGACCTGCAACCAATTTCAAATAAAGCAGCCTACAGATTCCTTATCACTTGTGAAGAATAAGATGGAATGCCTCACAGTCTGATACTACAGTTCTCTATACCCTTCGGATCGGAACACAGGTATGCTGCACTACTGCTTGACGCCAGAAATAGGTAAGAGGGTGGTACTGACCCAGACGAATTCTTCGGCAGAAAAGGAGTCCACTAACTAGTATGTTTTTTTATAGTATTAGGGTGACAAACGAGCACACAGTCCACCTGATGGTAAGTGGTTGCTGTGAGCCATAGACATCTACATTTATCCTCAATAAAGTAAAAGTACCGGTGAGAACTAAGATATGGAATGCCTCTTTTCCAGCAAAATGGATATCCGGTTCTCTACACTCACCATACGAAACACACCAGTATCAAGCTGCCATTTTTGCTGGTATTCTGTGAGAGCGTGGTCCTTCCCCGGTCGAGTCGACCCATTCGTGTTACAACTATACTACCAATATAGCTGCAGCATGGCTCTACCACGTATTAAATGTTTCTAATATGCCCCAATAACATATTTTAATTCTTAAACATGCAGGTTTTCTCATATCATATCGCATAAAGATTACTTCGTTCACGCGTGCGACGAATGAGCGCTTCTGTTCTTGTCTACATTTCTGGCTTATGGCACTATAATCTGTCATGCTTACATGAGCCGTTTGTGTCCTGGACTTGTGTCATATTCAAATAACCATCATTCTTTCTAAACCTACTACTTTCATATTTTTCTAGATTCCTGGTTTCTCTCAAGCTGTTCCTAGTTATGGGTATTTCTTGGATATTCGAGATCGCTAGCTTTGCACACGGACAAGCACATATCATTTGGTAAAAATTATTTTTGGTATCATATGTAACATATTATTCTATAAGATTTATTTTTATTTAGGTACTCTATTAATTAAAGTAAATAAATACCCTTACTCTTATTCAGTTAAAAACCAAATTACTATCAAATAAATGACTCCGGTATATATGTATTTTAAACGTTGATGTATAGTCAGTCACTGTTTCAATTTTTAATTTTAACTTTATTATTATCATCTTAAGTAAGAAGATTATAAAAGGCGGACTTAATGCCTTTTGGCATTATCTCTCAGTCAATGCCGGGGTTTTTTTTAAAATATTGTAAGCCAGTGCTTAGCTACAATCCCACCTGATAGTAAGTGGTGATGTAGCCTAAGACGGAGAAGCGTGCTGACTTAACAAAAGAATATTCACTCTTACCTTGAAAACACCCATAAATGAATTGAATGCGTGGTAAGTCAACAACGAAAGGCCGACTTGTCGAACGCCTGGTTGTCCGATGGGGGAAGGGAGTGACAATAAGTGGTGAAAACCAATTGTCTCTGTACACTGTTTTGTCTCGCTTCTCTTCTATTTGTGCCAAATATTTCATCTAAAGCTAGTATTTAATAATTTCAGGAAAATAATGGACATTTTTAACTGTCTACAAGGAGTCGTTATATTCCTCATTCTGGTAGTGCTGAGAAGGAGAGCGATGCAAGGTCTGGCCAACGAGAACTGTTGTCTACTAATAACTCGTCCACTAGCTGAGAAACTGAGTCCCCACGATGACGCGGACGATCAACAAATACTGTCCGATGACACAGTAGAGGTTAGGCTGAACTAACTTAAGTGATTGTTTAAATATCAACTTCCTTTTTTAATTGTTTTAACTAAGTCAAGTAATTAACGTATGGTTAGAAAAATTCCAAACAAGTTTTATTGTCTTTGAATAGAGAAATATATAGTGTAAACAAAATATTCCATGTTGTAAAATAAGCTTTAAATATTCAATTACAAATAACAAAAAAAAATACATTTGTAAGTGATAAAAAAAAAAGTTTTAACTTTGGATACTAGAGCCACATGACAACACGAATCTCTTTCTTTTGTATAACTTATGTAGGTTTTATTTTACTTGAGGATTAAACGTCTGTTTAAGGAAGTAGGCTAGGTACCTAAAGTAACTATAATTGATAGTATCAAAAGATCATTATGTTGTATGAGTACTTTAAAACCAAATATAGATGTACTTTAACACTTATCTTTAGTTACTTACTTATCACTGAATATCTTGCATTAGTCATAGTCTAAGTAGATAAGGGTCTAAGACATAATTCGTAGAATGCTTGCATATTAGTGGTTTTATACACTATAGTAAGTTTTTGATTAAAATATAATATTATGTGCCATAATACATTTTAAATTATTAAGTATCTGTAAAGTTTTGTAATTATGAATAAAGAACTAAATGATCTAAAAAAAGTCTATAATAATCTCTAGAATTTACTCAAGTAAATACTAAGAGAGAAACAGACTGAATTTTTATAATATTGTTCCTATATTTGTTGTAATGCATGATATTTATGTTAAAATAAAAGTTTAAAAGAATATCCTTTGTTTTATTGCATACATGATGTGCTAATGAAGGGTGTGGTTTATCTGTGTGCCTTTGATGTATTAATAAGTTATTTAAAATACAAAAACATAATATCGAAGTTAATTAGCAGTTTTGAGTGGGGAATATTTTTCTGCACTGCCCTAATGTACGTTCAGTCATATTTTCTTTCACAGTCGAGAACTTTTAAACCAGCATTTAAGAAATTGCCATTAATACTCCGTCTGGTATAGAACTCTATTTGCTAGGGTAGGTACTATGAAACTTAAGGTCGGCATCCTGACCCAGAGCTACCGCGGCTTTTAAAACATGATAGATAACTCAACGCGTGATAAAAATCACTTCTATGTAGATACTTAAATTAGTCCTTAGGGTACAACAATAGTTTGTCCAGCAGAATAATACGAGAAACATGTATTAGTAGTCCACCTCATTATTTTCTTTGAATTTTTTACAATGAAAGCTATTGCAGCGTACCATATATCTTACGTTCTTGTCCGTGGTTTCATTCCCGCAAAGGATATGTATGTATTTGTGTAGCCTCTAAATTAATACTGTACCTAAGTATATTGTTCCGGATTAGAGTGAAGTCTTACATATATATTACTAGCTGTTATTCCGTTTATCCACCTTAGGGTGGATACGCATGTTCATCTATCCACCCCACATGAGGTAATATATTATTTTTCTTCCGATTTTCTCCCTCGACTGTGTACAGTAATTTATAGAAACATAATAAAAACGTGCCCAAGATACTTGTAGGCATTACCTACTTATAAAAATATATACACTTACTTCTTGTATGAAAGATCAACGCCGAAATAAAAAGAGTCTCACAGAATTTCAAATTCATTGGAATCTTAACATAAAATAATTTAAAACGAAGTTAAAGACAAACATCCGATAAAAACGTTTTTGGAATGTTTGGAAAAAAACGCCCATTTTTTCGCTAACACATCTGTTTTAGAAAAGAAATTTAGAAAACGATTGCAAATGTACCTACATTAAAAGTGATGAATTTTAGCATGATATCAAATTACGCCTGCTCAATAATGAAATTAGTGTTGGTAATTGCCTGGACATATTCCAGAATTAATCAATTACGTAATAATATTATTTGAAACGAGGATGTTTAATGCAATACGTAATGTATGGACTTATATAGGTTGAGACGGTAACGGTAACGGCAATACGTAAAAGTAATATGTTTGTTTCTTTTTTTTATTATGTTTGTGATTAATAAAAATTAATTAATAGTTAAAGTGTATGTGTTGAACTGTAGTTGGGGTGAAAAGTGGTAAGAACAAATAAAAGTGAATTCCGATTATCTACCCCATCTGTGGTGGATAAATGAACACGCGTTTCCGAGTATCCACCCTAGGTTGGATTTTTTTAGGGTGGATAAACGGAATAAACCCGCTTACGCGTTTTGTTCAACTTAGTGTAACAACTTATCGTCCATATATATTTTACACTGTTTTTTAACTGTAATATTATTTGTGTCAAACTCGCTCGCATAAATTAAGTTTTCAAATAATAATTTATATTAAGAGGACTACAAGAACTAAGTGATCTCGAATGACGCACGCGCACATTTACATAATTTCTGTATAGCATCAAGCCTCACCCGGCACTGTCGGTAAACAGACGTAATTTACGCGTACGTATTATGTTTAGAAATGTATGCGATTTAAAAAATCTGTTTATTGGATTAAAAAATTAAAACACTATTGTATAATATTCTGACAAAAAATCAGAATCAGGATGGTTTTTAATGGTTGAAAGAAATTTTTAGAGATATATTTGTGATTTTTTTCCATAGTATCAAGTTAGTAGTATCATATTTTCAACACAGATTAGTGTGTTGACTAGCATATATCCTGAAAAATATATATTTTTCTGATTTTTTTTACTGCAGTGGATCACATACTTTAAGGCATTATAAATCTTGCGTTTATTTCCTGTAGTTCCCTTAACATAAGTCTTTCCATAGAAACTTGCGTAGTGTTGTGTAGCGTCAAACTTACGAAAGTTACAATTAGAAAATATATTTATTATGCGGATCTTAAACAATAGATCTATACATTTAAAAAAATATTAGGTCTTTGTAAATTTAAGCTGAACATTATTACAGTTTTCTAACTGAGCTTTGGTAGTCAATTCGGTAATTTATATAATTTGATATAATTATATAATTCTAGAAATAAGATTAAATTAAGGAAAAAATATAAGTTAGACTAGTAACATTGAGTAAACTATCGGTCGTGCGTAGTTATCTTGCGCGCACTATACTATAATGACTGGAGTTTTGCTCCTTATGAACCTACCTAATATTGTTTAAATAATGGTTTAAAGTGGATTTTAATGCGTAAAAGAGATGCGTATTAAAATTTTGCGCATAATGAACTACTAGTAAAAACAACTACAAGTGTTCCGATGTTCATATTAAACTCTACTTATATGTCTTAGGCACTTTGAGAATAACCCGATCGAGATTGAGACACTATCGTCATTAAGAGTAAATGTGGTGCGATTTTGTGTATCGTCTGCGCGTGTGAATTTAGTGAAATTTAAAAATATAACAAGTGATTCAAAGGTGAAATAAATTTTAGTTTTTTTTATCCACAGGTCTTGAGAATTACCTTCATTGTCATTGATCAATGACAATAACAAAATACAAATCAGACCAGGCTGTATGGTATAAGACTTTTGCCTGGCCAACTTGGCGAATCATAACAACAAAACTTAATTTTTAGTTGACAATTGACAGTTAAGTCATTAAGTTTAGCGTAAAAGTTCGCTAAAACTAAACATTATTTCATTTTATAGAACTTCAACTAGGATTTTAAATGTATAAATATTGAATTAAGGGTGCTTAAATCGTAAAAATAAATCAAAGCTTTAATGTATCTAAACCTGTGAAAGTTGTAGTTGTTTTCAATTACTTTAGAACAGTCTGTCTGTAATGAAATTTGTGTTTTTGATATAATGTACACTGTATTTATTTTATTAGCGATAGTATGTACTATAAGTGGTCCTTATTCAGTAATCGCTTCTGTAGGTGAGACGGATCTCAATGATTTGTCGGAACAACAGAATTCCATTGTTATTAATAAATGTTGTGAACCAAACGAAATCATGGTCGACTCCGTGTGTCGCCTAGCTGATAATTATAATCAAAGTAAGTAATATGGTATAAAATTAAACATGATTACTCGTATGTTGCTGTTTACAATATTTGTTATTATTTAATAAGCATGTTTTGTTTTCAATCTTATTTATAACTTAAGTAAGATAACCTTACTGCTGACCACAAGTTTAATTTTTGAGAGTTCATTTTATAGAAGCAAAGATGACAACGGGTAAATAGTTAAGCTGACAGTTTTTCAAGTCAAGGCAAACAAGCATGTGCGGCTCATCTATTGGTATTTATTTACCAATAGTTACGTGATTATCACTTGCCATGAGCTACTGTAACACCAGGGGAAATGCAGATATGTAACCAGCCTTAAAAAATAAGCTCTTTTTGTAAAGGTTTCTAAGTCTTTACAGTTCTAAAAAATTTTGGTGGTAGCTGATTCCACAAAGAAGTTGGTTATTGTTCTACCCCATATAATGTAATAATAAAGTAGGAAAAGGAAAGTGTTCAATGTAGATTTCACTGCATGATTATACTGAGCTAAAAATTAAGTTTGATTTTGTAAAGGGCTATAATGATTGATGATGATGTGAGCCACTTGCATCTATTGATTTTCTGCATGTCTTATCAAGATGTCACTCAATGTAGTGGCGAGCCATTCTTTACTCTTCTTATGAGTTCAAGGCTGCCACTCTAGAACCTTTCTTTTCTATCTGTTGTTGGTTCACCAAGCTATTTGGCAGGCACATTGCCACTTCAGCTTAGATATTTCTCTGTGACTCTGTTTCTGCTGTTGATCAGCTAGTAAGAAAATTTAAATGCTACTCAGCCTGAAGCTATCTCAGTCATCATTTAAAATTTATATGCTATACACTATTGTTTTTAATTGAATCTGAAAACCTCTATTGTTCTGTCTTTTTTGTCTGTCAGTCTGGGCTTGAATGGATTGTAATGAAACTTCACAAACAAATAGGGAGCAATCAAATGCCAGGAGTAATATCTGCTATATTTTATATGAAATTCTTACTTTTTTTAGAAACCAAAAAATTAATAAAATAAATGGTCTTTGATTATCCTAGATAATAGATCATACCCAGGCAAAGCTGGGGCGGTTCGCCAGTGTAAAATATTAACTTGCATAATGATCCATTTGGAATATGTACTCAAAATATTAAATTATATTCTGTTTACACAATTTGCACTTTGACAATCTTTGTTGTGTGACAAGCTGTGTAAATTTGCATGTCCTAGGAATCCCAGTGCCAATTTATGTGCTATAATGTGTATTGTGACATTATAGCCATATACCATAGCCCATAACTGTGATACTGCATCTATATCTAACTTTAATCTTATCACAACATAATCATGCATTACATGAGATATGTTTGTTGGCAGATTCTTTTGATCTCTATGACCTATGTGTACATTTATGATGTTTTGCACATTTGATCATTATAAAAAATATTTGGAAATTGTGGCTGTTTCAAAGGCCATTAGCATGTCATCTATACAAATAAATAAAATTGAAGTGTCTGTTTGTAATGTCAAAATAACAGCTTTTTATTAAATGCATATGAAAGTATATACGATACTTTCAACAAAAACACAATTTTTAAAATTTTTGTCTGTCTGTTTGTTCCGGCTAATCTCCGAAACGCCTGGACCGATTTTGATGGGACTTTCACTAGCAGATAGCTGATGTCATAAGGAGTAACTTAAGGCCTCTACACACCAAACCTGCCGGCCCGCCGGCTTTGCCCTGGCTTGTTATAGGATAATCGTGACGGCGGGTTGCGCCCGCGAGCGCTCCCCGGCGGGACATGCCGGCACTTCATGTTCGCTCGCTCAGTTGGCCGCCGGCTTTTATAACGTAGTGACGTGCAGTGAAATGTTATTTGTTTACGTATCGAATGTAGATATGGAGTGGATGATGAAAAAGTTGAAAATTTTATAAACCTATATAGTTCTAGAGCTATATTATGGGATCCAAAGCACATCGACCACAAAAAGCGACCAAAGCGTTACGACGCTCTCAACGAAATAACTACCGAATTGTCTACCAATATTTCGGAAATAGAGAGAAAAATAAAAAACTTAACAGCCACAATTTCCAGAAAAAACGAGTAGATACTTCAAAAAAGTCAGGTGCGGGCACTGAAGATATTTACCATAGCAAATGGTTTGCTTACAAATTATAAACTTTCTATGCAATAAAAAAGGGCCATCACTAACTGCTGAACGGTACAGGCCGCAGATGCCGCGGCCCTCGTACCACCGGCAAAAGTCGTTCCGGCTTACAATGCTCTAATGCCGCCAGCCTAGCCCGCCAGCACCAACCCGCCGGGTAAAGCCGGCGGGTTAGGTGTGTAAAGGTCATTAAGTTATTTTTATTTTAGAAAACGAATTAGGGTTCCACGCAAAAAAATTAAAACCCTAAATAACATGTGGGTGAAGTCACGGGGAACAGCTAGTTATGACATAGATTGTGTTTCAGTGCAAAATTGTAAAGGCATTCTTTGATTTTAGATTATGAGAATGCATTTAATCTAAGATCTTTCATCTCAAACTTTAGCTACAATACTAACTTTTAATAATGTAAAATAATCTTTTGTTATTGTAGGTTTATGGGTGCCTCAATTTAAAACTGAAGATGGTAAAGATGCAAAAGTTGAATATTTTAAATATTTAAGTGGTGTACCAGACTGTGCTACAACACAACAAAGGCCGATATTTTATTTTGGAAAATCTGAGGATGAGTATGTTGATGAATATGTACTGTCATTTAATGTCATAACCAAATTTTAAATAAACTTTTAGTATTTTCACTTATTATTTCAAAAATTTAGCCAGGTTGAAATAAAAACAAGCACATATTCTAAGTGAGGGTAAGTGAATGCTGTAGCTCATAGACTGGTATATACAATTCAGTCACTGACTTTATTTTTAGATATCTAATTTTTAAATCCTATTTGGAGTGATGAATTAGAAAGAGATGTAGGAAGTTAATTAGTGCTACTGGCTCAAGACCTATGTTTTGTTGCATACTTGGGATGTGATAGTGATAGTTTTTATAATATCATATTTATAATTTTCATAATGAACTTTTGCAGTAAACAATCAATGTAATATATTATGCTTGGAATGTACCTTGTCTAGTGTTTGTTTTACAGCAGAAATCATATTTTCCTTCAAGATCAATGATAAAATAGTTCTGAGATATATATAATTATTAATAAGGCTGTCAATGTCGGTTTACAACTGTAATTTTTGATATTTTTAAGGCTTAATCTGCTCTCAGACGGTCGTATGCGGCACCTTATTCATCATGAACATAGCTATGACAGCATCAAAGATGAACATATGGCGACCAACATGTATTCATTACATGGATCTATTATCATACCAGAGGTTAAAGAACCATCATCATATATTCATGACCAGAACAAATACTGCATGGATAAGGTAATGTGTTAAATTAAAATTACACCTAGGTATAATAGTTTTTTTGAACCCATGATTTCTTCATGAACAATAATAAAATGATAAAATATTTTTAAAAAATGTAGGGATTCGATGAAATTTTTAATTTTAGTTTCACAGGTAAATTTTTCTTTATAAAGGATAGAAAATAGATAGGTTTCATTTACATTTATTATTTAATATGTAAAATTGTACATATATTACTGTATGTTATATATAATCTTATTTATTTGCAGATTTTGATGACTAGCACTAATTTAACAGGTGAATATGCATTAGTGTGTGTGCCCCAAGTAAAAATTAACTGGAAAGATACAAGTTTCCTTATGAGGAAGGTTCTAAATCCACTGTTTCATGCAGTTGCTATGGTGTTATTTTTATTGACAGCTATAATATACTTTGTACTGCCTACATTGCGTGATCTAGCTGGAAATATTATAACAAGTATTAATGTGTGTTTGATTGTAAGTCAAGCTGCTGATTTAGTAAGAATATTCACTGAATTTAGTAACCACATCAGTTTTATGATTACTGGTAAGTGAACATTTTGTCTATCTTCTGCTAAAATTATGTATTATATTTATTTAAAGCACAAAGGTGACAAATGAGCACACAGTCCACCTGATGGTAAGTGGATGCTGTGGGCCATAGACATCTACATTACTCCCATACTAAGAATCAAAATGCAGATGCGTTGTCACCCCTGAGGACTAATGTTATTTGAAAAATATATGTTAATCCAAAGGATCAGTATTCTAAAGTTGCAATGGGCTGGTCATATAGATCTAAGAACCGACAACCGATGGGGAAGAAAGGCTCTCGAGCGGCAGTCTCATAATGATAAGCAAAATGAGGGATAGCCCCCAACTAGATGCGAGTAACAACCTGATAAAACCATGCAGGAAGTGGAAGGATATAGTTGGCTAAGGACCATGTCTTGTTGTATTCCTTGAGAGAGGCCTATGTTCAGTGGACTTGTGAATGGCTGTAATGATAATGATGTTAGTTGCATGATAAAATGGAAAGCCAATATAATATGTTAATTAGGTAGAAATATTGCAAATTATTTCTCTTCTATATGATAAAAAATTTCTTTTTTAATATAATGTATGGGGTTATTTTTCAAAGAGTAGGCAAATTTTAAACTTAATTTCAAATATATATAAATAATGATGTTATTGCAGTTTTTGAAAATACGAGTAAGTAAGGCTTCTACTTTTATTTGAAATTATCCCAAATTGAATGTATTTATGTTATAATGGTAACATTTAATAATGCTTATTATTGTCATCATCATTTATGTGCCTTGGTTTTATTTTAATATAGTTTTTTTTTTTCATTTTAGATATAATTCTTTACATAAGTTTACTGGGTGCATTCTTTTGGCTAAACAGTTATGGATTTTATATTTGGAAAACATTTAAGTAAGTAAAAAGTTATTATCATATTGTTCTATTAGAATATAAGTTGTTATATTTGTTATATAATTTTACAGATCAAGGAATGTTTTTCTGCGAGTGACCGATGTACGCAAATACTGCTACTATTCGAGTGTAGTTTGGTCAGCTGTAATTTTGATGGCAGCCATGGCTATTGGTGCGCATTTTCTGCTAGATACCGGGACAAACCCATACCGAAAAATGCGCACTCAATTCTCTTCCTCCATTCTAGTTGATGATGTGGAACAGGAAACAATTGGTATGGCAATAATTTAATGTAAAAATGTTTTACTAATTAAATTTGTAACACTGGTCTGTAAAGAAGACGTAGGTTCGGTCTAGTACGAAAATAAAATATTCGTTTTTAGCTGCCTTTTTTGACTTTTAAAATTTATTTAATCAACAGTTAAAATATTTCGTAATAATATGTTGCAGTAATATTTATATGCATTTTCAGGATGGCTAGGTATCGCAATATTTTTTACACCAGTTGCATTCACAATACTCTTTAATGTTTTCTTTTATATTACTACTCTCAAAGTAATAAAAAGAATAAATATCTATGGAAGGATTCACCATAAACTAAAAGGATGGTGAGTATTCTTTTATTTAACTATAATATTTTAATTAGGAAGAAAATACCTGATAAATATTGTTTTATTTTTCAGCTTCAATTTATTTCTACAACTGTTTTTAATAATGACTACGGCATGGTTGTTTCTTCTTTTGTCATGGTTAAACTTTGATGGCTTGATTTACGCACACATTATAGTAAATCTGCTACAAGCTATTTTAGTGTTTTACGTGTGTGTCGTGCGTCAATCACACGTAACATTTCTGTTAAGGAAAAGTTGTTGTTACGCTGAGCCGGTACCAACTGGTGAATGGGGTGATGAAATGACCCATATGAATGGTGGCAACTATTAGTACCTGCTTCAATACAACTTGTATCAGTTACAGATAATAACTATAGTGACCCATGTCAAAAATAAAATTTCAGGCACACAAACAATAGTTTTTTTAGGGTAGTTGAATATTACTGTGATGTACACAAGCTTATATATTAAGAGCGGCCAACCCGTCTAACTTTTCATACAAAAGCTTGTATGTGATTATGGCGTTGTAATAGATCTTTCTTTGAAAATTTTAATATATAATATAATTAATAGGTATTTTGTGCACTATATCTAGGTTCCTATCTAAACAAAAAATCTAAATTTGTAGAAACAAATTCAGTATAAGCCTCCAAAAATCTGCTTTTTTGCATAAATTTTACCTGAACTTTGGTCGTTCATAATGTACTCACTAATAGTAAAAGTAAAGAAATTATTTTATAGAAACCTCGCCAATGTAATGGAAACTGACTAAATGACAAAAATTTATTTCACAAAACTTGTGGGTTACTGAAAAACACGTATTTCCTGGAACAAGTTTTATGAAATTCCCGCACACTATTTTTCGTTCAATAATATCGCGTTCTCACTTGCTTATTAGCCAAGTGGCGGTAAGAGGTATGCGGGGGACAAGTCGTGCGGGGTAGGGGCGGGGTGAGACGGGGGAGTTGAATGACGAGCGCCGGTGGCGCACGCGTTCGGCTCTCTGGCCTCTCGGAATTGTTAGTAGGTATTCAATTTGTGGACTGCGCTTCGTCAATGTGCCGTTGCATTTTATATTTAGTGACATCTGTTTTACCTACTACAACGATCTTTTTTTTTATACCGGACACTGATTTTGCTAGCGAAGGTTTAGCTATTTTATTATGTGAAACGAACCTGGCATTTGTGAATACGGACACAGACTTTGTTTGGATAAGAATTTTGAAGCAGATCGATTTTATTACTATTGAGAATGAGAATATTACTATTGTTATTAGATAATAATATGTTTTTTTACTAAATTTTCAATCACTTCTGACAGTTAACTCTTTGTGTTCGGAAATCGGAATCGTCTCGACAACTGGGTTGTTTTATGTATTGTTCATAAAGTGTAACAAAGTTCTTTAGAATAAAAATATATATTTATACCCAACTCTATTTAGACTACTTTATTTGTGATCAACCACCTGTACTACGGTACAAATTAGTACCTAAACAACATTTGGAGACATTTACATACGGTACAAGTAGGTACGTTACCTAATTTCAGCTTCCTAAATACAAACGGCCTAGACAGGTAAAGAGTTTATTGTTTATACCGCTACTCCATAAGCAGAATAAATTATTTACCTTTACATTTTCGTGCTCTGTTTAGGTATAACATGGACGAACAATATAAGTTGGATGGAACACCCTGCTAAAACAAAACTGAGTCCAGTTTATGTCTGAGTATTGATGTTTGCGCGTGTAACGGCCGACTAATATGTTGTGAATGTTTGCGTGCCGGGCTTGTACGCACGACGACAAATAAAGGTATATAAACCAGTTTATGCGGTACTCTTATTGTACGGGAAATTGAAACAAAGCGAGGCCATGTTATACTGGATATATATAGCTTGATGTGTCGCCGAGTGTACTTACACACACGAGTTGGCCGACTCTGAGTGACAGTTACTCGTATTTTTATTTGCGACATATTATTTTTTACATGGAAAATTATTTATAACATTATAAAATTATTTATAACATAGATAATTTCTTTAATATATTATATTTATAATTATAACATAAATAATTTCCATGTCAAAAATAGCGCACGTACGATACCTAGTTTGGTAAAAAACAACACACACATATCTCCGAGGCCAAGTGGCACGTCTATACTAGACAAAGAGTAATATAATAAAATAATATGGTACCTACTAAATGTAGCCATGCAGAGAAATTTACAAAACTATAGCTATGCGCCATAGTAGCGAGGCCGTAAGTTACCGAATGCCAACCGAACGCTAAGGTGCTGTCTTTCTCTTTTCGCTATGCCTCTTTTTCTAACATTGCGCTGGATGAAACAACAAGCTTTTTAACCATGCTCGCGTTGACGATAGACGGGCCGGGAAGGGCCCTCTTAAATATCAAAAGCACTCTAAAATATTTAAAAGTATTGTGCCTTAGTAAAAGTGGCTTAAACTTGAGAAGTATACAAAAATATAAGGTAGTTTATACCCATGTTAATTGAAAAATTTGAGTTGTTTAAAATTTATAGGAATAGCATTAAATAACGTCATTGTATTATATACAATATCTAAAAAATACTCAGTCCGATCCGAAATGTGAACATATGTACCGCTATGTAATTACCAAAAAAAATATTAAAATATTAATTAATTTTATTGTTTATTAAAGTTGTGGTGGTATTGTTATTTATTATCTGAAAGGGATTACGTAAACAGAACCTCAAATCATGATTCCTAAAAGCACCCTTACGGATCGGACTTGTTGGAAAGGTTTCTTGAAAACATTGTATTGTATAGTTTTAAATAATAAAAAATTAACAATGTTATTCAATATAAATCATAGTCGACAAGTTTTGAGGCACTATAAATAGCTATGTCGTAATTTATTAGTCATCATCATCATCATTACAGCCCTTCACAAGTCCACTGCTGAACATAGGCCTCCCCAAAGAATGCCACAAAGCACGGTCCTGAGCCACCTGCATCCATCGACTTCCTGCATATCTTACCAGGTCGTCACTCCATCTAGTGGGGGGACGCCCTACACTTCGCCTGCCGGTACGAGGCTGCCACTCGAGAACCTTTCTTCCCCATCGGTTGTCGGTTCTTCGAGCTATATGGCCGGCCCATTGCCACTTCAGCTTACTAATCCGTTGGGCTATGTCGGTCACTCTAGTTCTACTGCGGATATCCTCATTTCTGAGTTTATCACGCAGAGAAACTCCGAGCATAGCCCTCTCCATAGCTCGCTGAGCGACCTTGAGCTTCCTCATCCGGCCAGCAGTGAAGGACCACGTCTCAGTTCCGTATGTCATCACTGGCAACACGCACTGGGTGTACAGTCTCGTTTTCAAGTTTTGAGGTATACCTGACGAGAAGATGTGCCGTAATTTCCCGAACGCTGCCCAACCGAGTTGAATCCGTCGATTGACCTCTCGGTCGAAGTTGGACTTACCTAGTCGGACTATTTGTCCCAGGTAAACATACTTGTCAACAACTTCGAGCTTAGTGTTCCCAACAACTACCGGCATAGGTGTGACATGGACATTAAACATGATCTTTGTTTTGTCCATGTTCATCTTAAGACCTATCCGTTGGGAAACACTATTGAGGTCATTGAGCATAGTGCTTAGGTCCTCCAGCGATTCTGCCATAAGGACTATATCGTCGGCAAATCGAAGGTGAGTGATGTACTCGCCATTGATGTTGATACCGTATCCTTTCCAGTCCAGAAGCTTGAAAACATCTTCCAATGCAGCGGTAAAGAGTTTCGGGGATATGACGTCACCCTGTCTTACACCTCTCTGCAATTGGATAGGTTTCGTACTCTGGTTCTGTACTCGGATAGCCATCGTAGCCCTACTGTACAAGCACTTCAACACTTCGATATACCGACAGTCAACTTGGCATCGCTGAAGGGACTGCAGCACCGCCCAAATTTCGACGGAATCAAAGGCTTTCTCATAGTCCACATACGCCAGACATAGTGGCAAATTGTACTCCTCGGACTTCTGTACAATTTGCCGAAGGGTATGTATGTGGTCTATGGTGCTAAAGCCTTTTCGGAAACCGGCTTGTTCGGGAGGCTGGAAGTCGTCAAGTCTGCGCGCGAGACGATTCGTAATGACTCTCGAAAACAGCACGTAGACGCGGCTCAGAAGGGAAATCGGTCTGTAGTTCTTCAAGAGAGCGTTGTCGCCTTTCTTGAAGAACAAGACCACCGCACTTCTGCTCCACGCCTCCGGTGTAATGCCACCATGGAGGACGGAATTAAAGAGCTTCTGAAGGACTTCAAGTACCGGTTTTCCACCCGCTTTCAGAAGCTCCGCTGTAATTCCATCCTCGCCTGGGGCCTTGCCGTTTTTAAGGTGCTGGAGAGCCATTCTAATCTCGCTCAGACTGACGTCCGCGATATCATCGGAATAATGTCGGATAAGACTCGCTCTTGGATCGTTACTCACACTTGCGTGCGGCTCCAACGATGACGTGTGCAGCTGCCCATAGAACCTCTCAATCTCACTCAAAATCTCAGGTGCCCCGGAAACGATGCTGCCACATTCTGTCTTCAGCTTTGACAGTTGGCGCTTTCTGGCAGACAGATCTCTGGCAAAGACTTTGGAGCCTCGGTTCCGCTCGATCGCTTCTTCAATACGAGCTGTATTGAATTTGCGTAAGTCCCGCCGCATGCATTTGGAGATCTGTCTGTTATTATAATTTATTAGTAATTGGTGTAAACTGCTAAATTGTTTTTAAAAACCGTCTTCACTCAATATAAGTTTAAGTTAAAGAGCAATTAAAATATTTTGAATGCTTCAAAAGTCACGATCACCTTTTCCTTATTTGCGTTACTTAGGTTTTACGCGAATTTGCCATTAAATATGAATTTTATTACATATATCAAGTGACCAAAAAAATAGATGATATGAATTATATATAGGTTTTGTGATATTTTTGTTAATTAGATTGCTCATAAAAGATACTTAATTTTAAATTACAAATCTAGCCATTTTAATTTGGACCAAAACTTTTAAGTTTAATTATAATTGATTAAGAATATTAATATTATAAGAATAACCTGTATGTAATGTTTACTGATTCTTAAAAAAACTACATTTTACATAATAATCGAGATTTAAAACATTAATATCAAAAGTATTATAATGATGAGACTGAAATATTCAATGCATCTGAATATGAAAATTTCTCTGTCCGTCCTACAAACTTCGAAAAGGCAGCTGACAATGCTATGACTGTAAAATGATATTAGGATGCTCTCTGGCACTAACATACCTATTATAACTTTTAACAATTTTACATATTTACTTTTTTGAATTAATTTACGAATTATTTACAAGTATAGTTTTATAACAATTATTATAGGCTAAGCCAATTCAAGTGAACTAAATCGAATCGCATGAAAATATAATTTACGTCAATAAAACGATTTATAACTCTGTGTATTTGGTTTTATTTATATACCTTTCTTATAAGAACTATCATAATGTATTATCTGTACGTATTGTAAGTAATATTTTAATTGTGATGATTGTATGAGAAACCCTATTCCATCTCTTCTGGTGGCTGTCATAAAAGGCGACAACGGATAATCATATAAAAAATCCGTAGCCATGTTAAATATACCGTATTTAAATATTAGGAGTTGGATTTCATCATCATCATTACAGGCCTACACAAGTCCACTGCTGAATATAGACCTCCCCCAAAGCACCAGGAGTTGGATTTGAAGAAAAATAATACTGAATTCGAATTGTAAATAAAATCGTTATTTCAACAAAGGTGGACAGAAAACAATTATATTGTGAGTTCATATGAGTTGAGGTGAAACTTGTAACACTATACAATGTCTTAGCGTTTGATACTTTTCAATACTCTTAAGAAATTGTTTACCTTGTAACACAGCGAATAAAGTGCTTCTAAAGCAAGTTCTGATACAGCCTTGGCCATTTGGTTTGTATTTCTTTAACTTGAAATAGAGACATACGGTAATTTCGGCTATAGCGGCGCCGCAGCAACCCATGCTACGCTGCTGCACACTACCCATGCCGCGCATAGCAAGGACTTGACTAATGTCGTCAACCCGTTTCTGCCAAGAGTGACAAAGACAAGGTCTTTCGAATTTAATTTAAAATTGACATGAGAAGCATACTCTAATAAAAATTTCATTTATTACCGTCCATCAAAAGTCCATTGCTGAACATAGCTCTCCCCTATAGATTACCTAATAGTGGCGTATTTGTCGTAGTAATATTTATTATTTTGCATAGTTATCAGGAAGATGATATCCCATCTCCAGTCGCCTCACACGACACCCACGAGATTACATGGATTATAGCGAAAGTCTCTTATATTATACTCTTGCGCCGTCACTACACGGCAAAGTATGTCTTCGGTATTAAAGTGGTTAGTATTTACTGTCCCCGCCTTTCTAATAAAATGTCCGTTATCATAATATACTGAACAAATTAAATAATTATTTGGAGTTTTTTTTTTAAAGAAGACTAGTAACGCTTTGTTATAATATATTTGTCACGCTAAATGCTGAGTGCAACCCTTTTTCGTCAAGTTCGGAAACGTATAGTATTATTTAATAAATGTTTATGGGAAATATTATGTACACTATGGCGTTGACAGTATGTGAGTGTGACGAAAAAAATATTTATATCTATTAACATTACCAATACTCCCGTTAACCACTCCAAGTAAGCTTGAAATGCTTGAGTTAGGAGTTGTTTACCACAGTAGCGGTTTCAAACCTACGACTTTCTTAATTTGCAGTCCGCGCCAATATACAATATAAACCTTTGGCTACTGTCACTTATAAGATGCATTCACAATTTGATTTTTATTCTAGCTTCTTTGTACACTAACTAGACCCTTATATTTATATACGTTTCGAAAATACGTAGAAAACGTTAGCGATATTAAAAGTTGTTATAACTTATAATGTATAAACTTAGTTCAAGTTGAAATGTTTAAAAAATCCAAGGCATTGCATTATATAGACTAAACAACTGGATAAAAAACTTGTCTTTGGTATACGCTATCCTTTCTTATTAATAATACACATCATATACATAATACACTACTTGTAAGTACCTAATTATTAAAACAAGACATTTTCTTCAACACACGCAACAAAACAATAAGTTCATAAATACACAAAACATTCTGGCGGCAATCACTTACCTGGTTAAACAGCTGTCCTTCAGGCCTTCCCGAGAGCGCAGCAAGTTGACAGCGCACCACTAAATGGCAATCGTCCATCACAGTGTTGAAGAATCGACGTGTAGGCAGTAGAGCTTCGAGGTCGATCATCAATTCCAAAAAGCGCTCGCAGTATCTTGTAAAGAACAAAAAAAAAATATGTTTTTGTGTTACTTATTTTTACTTTTTAAGAGTTTAATCAAAATAAATATATTATCGTATGAAGTCTTCGTAAAATATCATTAACTAGTCAGGAAATCCTCATTATCATCATTATTAAAGCTTATGAGAAGTTTGCTGCAACAGACTAAAGACCCATATAACGCCTTAAATGAAGATTTTAAAGCACCGAATCGCCCAAATATCTTATCACTGTGCCCAACACCGTGCTTGCCAAAAAGTGGCTGCCACCCTTGAACCTTTCTTTCATCGTTTGACGGTTCTTTGAGTTGTAAGTAACGTCAGGTGTCCTTGCTCTAATGCTGATATCCTCTTTACGGAATCCGTATCGCTTCTAAAACTTCGAGGATAGCCCTTTTTATAGCTTGCTTAGTGACTCTGAACTTCCTTCCAGTGCTGAAAGACCACGTCTAGGTTTTAGTAAATCATAAATCAAGATGTTTTCTGCCGACTTCCAAAAAGGAGACGGTACTCAATTCGACTATATGTTTTTTTTATGTGTGTTTATGTGTTACCTCATAACTTTTTTCTGGGTGAACCGATTTTGATGATTCTTTACTTATTTGAAAGCTGGTGCTTCTCATATGGTTCCATATAAATTTCATCAAGGTCTGACCAATAGTTTTTGAGTTATTCTTAATAATTCATAAGTAAGTCGGTTGTACAAAATGTTTAATTTTAAATATCTTTTTTAGGTACGGAGCTATAAAAATATTATTATAATATGACGAACACTGTAACGGTTTTCGGGTCAAAATGTGTTTATAAGCTGACTTAATCCTTATTTCGATTTTTTCCTTAAGTTTTAATCGGGCATAAAAACATGAGTGGAAGAAAGTATATTTGTGATATTATCATTGAATAATTAAAAATTTTGTACTGCCGTCTTCAATATAATTTATAAAGAATAACTCAAAAACTATTGGTCTGACCTTGATCAAATTCATATGGAACCGCACGAGAAGTACCAGCTTTCAAATAAAACAAAGAATCATCGAAATCGGTTCACCCAGTAAAAAGTTATGAGGTAACACACATAAAAAAAAATATACAGTCGAATTGAGTACCATCTCCTTTTTGGAAGTCGGCAGAATAAATACATTTTTTTTTAAATTTTATGGTTATATAATTTTACTTTCTTACATCTGAATATCTATCCACTCGGTATGTTTTGCTTGTTGTTAGTAAGGCCAAAAATTGCATTTATGTGTATTCACGAGGCTTTTGATTAGATTTTGGTGTAAAGCGCGAAAATGTGCAATGTTTCTGCGCGGTGACCTCCGTTTAAACGTTCCAGGTCATCGACGGCTCTAATTGTCTCCAAGCACAAAACCACATTTTGTATTGTATGTTATCACAAAATATTACCTACAAGTACATTCCGCAGGTCGATGTTTACTTTCCAATATTAATTATTAATAATTTAAAATTAAACATTTTGTACAGCCGACTTCAATATAAGTTATTAAGATTAACTCAAAAACTATTGGTCTGACCTTGATCAAGTTTATATGGGACCACACGAGAAGTACCAGCTTTCAAACAAAAAAAGAATCATCGAAATCGGTTCACCCAGTAAAAAGTTATGAGGTACTTAGCACATAAAAAAATACAATCGAGTTGAGTACCGTCTCGTTTTTGGAAGTCGGCAGAAAAAGAAATATAATAGCTGGTGTCTTACCGGACAACATTTGGGTCCACATCACCAGTTTCTGGAACAGTTTCCAAGATCTGCATAAACTTGATCATTAACTTCTGTAAATAACGCCGTTCCCAATTCAGTTTTTCCAAAAGATCTGGTTTATCTTTCTTCTGTATTGCTCTCCAATATTTCTTCCATTTTGGGACAAGTTTAAATTCTTGGTTTCGCCTTCCTGAAATATCAATTTATATTGTAGAAGAACGTAGCCCATTGCTAAAAAGCAATGCGATGTCAACTGGATGTCAACTTTTATCACTATCGTGAAAATAACTACTATAAGAAAAATTCAAGTAGAAACATTATTTATTTTTAAATATATTAAAGAAGATTGCAAGTTATCATTACAAAGTATATAACATATATTGTTTTTATTGATGAAGGGTGACAAATGAGCAGTCCACTTGAACTGACAGTAAGTGGATGTCAAGAAGATACCCACATCTATCCTCGATTAAGATTCAAAATGGCATTCCCTTGTAGTAATCGACCCATGAGTACTACACGGGAATGCCTGCTACCAGTAAAAAGGATCTCCGGTTTATGTTGCTCACCATACGAAACACAGCAGCATTACGCGGCTATTTTATGCACGTATTCTCTGAACGTAGCCCTTCCGCAGTTAAGCCGACATATTATGTTTACTGCAGTCATACAACCCAACAACAAAAAGTTACAAACCTAAACATGCCCCTGCAATATTTCATATAACATAACATAACATAAACACTCACGCCTGTCACCCAGAGGGGTAGGCAGAGACTACGGACTTCCATTTGGCGCGATCCTGACACACCTCTCTCGCCTCTTTCACATCCATATATCTACGCATACACGCTCGTCGGTTAAGGGTACTCCTAATCTGGCCCATTTTCAATGTATCGCCGATCTGGTCGATAAACCTTCGTCTAGGGCGTCCCTTCCCGACCCTGCCGTTCACTTCTGCAACATAAATTTGCTTTGTCACTCTTTCCTCGTTCATTCTTTCTACGTGACCAAACCACCGAAGCATTCCTTTCTTAATCCTTGTCACAACGTCATCTTGCAAACCACACTTTTCTCTTATTACACTATTTCTCACCCTGTCATTCAGATTCAGCCCTAGCATACTCCTTAAGGAACGCATTTCTACAGCATTTATTCTACTCTCATGCTTCTTCTGCCAGACCCAACTTTCACTACCATACATTAAAGTCGGTACTAACACAGCATTATGAATTGCCATACGTGCCTTAGTTGACACATTCTGACTCCTCACAATAGCGTGTAGAGCCCCATTCACTCTATTTCCTGCGTTCACTCGTCGTTCTATATCCTTATCATATCTACCATCCCTGCTAAATAAACATCCCAAATATACAAACTCATCCACTTGCTCAATCAACTCCCCTTCTATTCTTATTTTACATAAAGTTTTACTTTCTTCTCTTTCAAAAACCATCACTTTCGTCTTACTTGCGTTCACTTTCATACCCCTTTCTTTCAATGAACAATTCATTAAAGTAACCATCATTTGCAACTCGGCCAATATTTCAAGATACTGTAAGATCGTGTAAATCGGAATTAAAATTTAAAAACTAGAGGTTCAACATCCTAAACGATGCCATAGTTAATCCAGGCCAAAAAGGAGATGGGTAGTAGCATCTTCGTGATGACAACTCAAAGTAATATAAAATTGCGATTGCCATGTAAAGCGTGCAACTATGGTAAATGTCCCTCATTAGAGGGTGATATAACACCCTCGTATATGTATATTTGTATAAGGATGTTGAATTCTTCCCGTGATCACTGATTATGGGTGGCTGCAAAAGAGCTAAATAACGAAAACTATATCATACTCGTAATAATTTAAAATTTAATGCAATATCATTCGATGATTATTTTTATTCAAAACTAACGGCGTGTCCTCAATAGGGGCATCCCACTGAACTCTTTAAATACAAATACGCTTGACTGGCTATACCCTACAAAAGGTTTGTGCCGATTTGAAGCGCCGCCATTGTTCGTACCAGGAACTAAAATTGACATTATGCCAAAGTCTGTTGTGTTGTTTAAAGGCGGCTACTCAATTGCCTGCCGCAGGGGCAATCTAGGGTGTAGGAGCGGGGATGACACTTAATTGTGAAGTGTGTATGCAAGCAGCGGCAATAACCTAAGTCGGCAGGGCGGCAGCGGATGGATACCAATAAAGAATGTAAAATTTGGACACTGGTAATTGAAGTGTATAAAGAGCGGCTTCTTCACACAGAATCGCCTTTTTTGTTTTGTGGTAGCACCGCAGAAAGAACGCTATTTGAACGTGGTAACGTTCAAATGACATTCTTTCTGTATCCACTTACCATCAAGAGGACTATGCTCATTTGTCACCCTTATTCTATATAAAAAAGAGCCAAGGCTATATATACCGATTCATTGATATTTCGATAAAAACTGCGCCATTCTCAAGGCGTGTCCAGCGAGACGTACACTCTCATACAGAACGGTAGAGACAGTACTGATATTTCCCCGATCGCTATACAGTCTAGATTGCCCCTGCGGCAGGCAAGTGACTAGCGGCCTTAAATCGTATCTCTGTACCAAACTTTTAAACGAAAAAATTAAAGTAGTTTGAGTAGTTTGAATATGTTTGATTTTTGTTAATAATAAAAATTATTTTTAGTAATGAGATTGCGTCATTTGTAAAACTCGTTACCAAAAGGAAAGTGGGATAACATTCCACAAGGAAGCGAATTTACTGCTAATATTATTAAAAGTTAAATTATTTGATAATATAAGTACTTAAAAATTTGTTACTAATCTTAATATCGTAATTACCAATACGTTTGTTTATAAGTTTTGATAAACAATAATATTCGAAGGGTTGTCGAGTTCCTTGACTATAATACTTATCGATGTTCTTTTCTACCCATATCTGTTAACAACCAAAGTCGCCGACAGGTAATTAACAAATGTTACTGTTGTTATTGATTCACAAACCCTAGAGTAAACCCAGTATTGGCTACTCCACGTTTGTGTTGAAAACACGCAAACGAAGTTATCTGAGAGCAAGACCAGAGTAAAATTATTTGAGTGTTAGTTACTCTGGTGTAACATGATATTTGTTCGAATCCACCCTTCGTATCCATTGAGTTATATGTACTACGTACTAGAGAAGCCATTCCGAACATAGACTATGTTCAACTGAACTGTAGTGCAATCCATACAAACTAAATATTGCGTAAATTGAAGATTTGTGAATTCCATAAAACAATTATTATTACATTTTATTTAGAAATATAATATGTTTGTTTAGATTAAATTAAGTTATTTTATATTAAATTTTTATATTTATTTTATATAAATATCTTATTTTATATCAAAGTCTTCGCCCATGCGCGACTACTACTCCCGCGCATGCGCTAAGACATAGAGTAGGACACAATTTTTGTTTGAAATGGCTTCTCTAGTACGTAGTACATATAACTCAATGTTCGTACCATATTTTTATTACACGGTTAAATAACCGTGTAATGATAATATGGTTTTCTTTAATGTAATATAGTCCCGTCACGGTTCTTTGAACGATGTTATGTGAAGAGCTCGTGTCTCTATAAATGTTCCCTTGGTTTTAGAGCTTTGTATAATATTTAGAGACGATGGCAGAAGATCCGACGGTATGACTGTGGATGCTTGGGAGAGAAATAAAACTTTAGTGTGGGATGCTACTTGCAAAGACACTTTGACACCCTCTCATCTCAGGGGTACCTCGTTTAAAGCAGGGGCGGCATCAAAAGTTAAGTAGCCCAAATATAAGTCTCTGTGAGATGAGTACATGTTTGTGCCTTATGTGTGATATTTTAATTGATACATTTATTTATTGTATGGCATTATATTAAGATGATACATAAATAGACTGGACGTTACGGGTAGGCGTGGGTATAGAATTTTTATCGATATATTTTATCACTCTGTCTTATCTCTATTTTTTATATAATTTTTATATCTCTATTTATTAGTTCCATGGACGCTCACTTTTGTTGTCAGCGCCAAAATGGCGAAAATCAAATCGCCTCATTATGTTACGATGTATAGCCAGTCCATATATAGAGGTCAGTGGGTCATCCCCATATCACCTTTACTTGTATCTTATAATTGGTTGGAAAAAATATATCTTGTAAATGAAAATAAATATTACTATCACAATTCACGTTGCCCGGTGTGTGTGTGTTGACGAACTTCACATGTCCTCAAATTAAATTGTATTCCTATGCAATGCAGGTTTCTTCACTATGCTTTCTAGAGAGGGTGAGCAAACCAATTCAAAAGTATTTTTGTATAATTACAATTACCTTCTTGTAAACTTATCCACATGCTGAGCGATACTAGACGTTTCACTTGATCTCTACATAGCTGTACCTCCATACTGCCGAAGCAATGATTGAGAAATAACAATAGAGCTGTCTGTTCTCGCATGTTGCGGCTTGTGTGATCGTCTGCAACACTGGCGCGCAGCACTTGCTCAAAGAACGCCGGAAAATGTTCTGGTTTCTTCAAAAAAGCCTGAAAGTGAAAACAATAACAGTTAAGAACATATTAGCAATCAACGAGAAATGCTACATAATACAAAAAATACTAACAATGCTATTAACAATACTAATATTTCCCCTAACCACTCCTGTAAGCTTAAAATGCTTGTGTTAGGTGTGTTTCAGGGCAGTAGTTAAATGGTTGATTCGAACCCACGAGTTTTGAAGTTCGCCGTCCACATATGTTATAAGGCTATTGTCTTAATCTTAGGCTCAATTTACATTGCCGCGGAACGGAAGGGAAGCGAATTTTTGTAACAAAATTGTACATAGTAAAATGAATTTTATGTTAATTGTGTAACGTGCACCTAGATATGAGCCAAAAAAAGAAATCGCGCGTCTGTTGAATTCGCGGGAAGTAACGCGAAGGGTGACGTTTTTATTTCTTCTATAAATCATGAACTCAAATATTTCTTTTCTTTTTTCAGATATTGTTCCTTTTCCCATCATTTTCTTCTTCTGACTCACAAATAAGCAATATGAAAATAATATCCAATCAGCCATTCTTGTCAAATAAAAGATCTAGAATAAATAAATGAACGGTGTACATAGACAAGGCGCAGAATTCGCGCGCCTTCCCACGCGACTAGGCGAAATTGACGCTTCCGTTCCATTCCATTCCACCGCAAATTAAATTGAGTCTTAAAGGCGGCATAAACGAGTACTCCTCCATATTATTATCATTCTATGGGTGTTGTAAGAGGCAACAGAGGGAAACCGGAGACAGACAGCAGCATGTTCTGGATAACAACTCAAAATAAAAACTGGAGATTGGACCGCCTTGCCAAGCGTGGCCACAATGGCAAATATTCCCCTTATGAGGCAATTTATGCCCGAGGTCTGCATTCATCAGAGAACTTTTGATTGGTTGTGATGCAATAATGGATATTGTAGATAGTTATTCTGCAATGTATCGAATGCCACTGAGATTTCGTCGCATTTCTTTTGCTTAAATTTTTAATATACACAGCGTGTAAAGCAAGGCGATGAATTCTCTACCAAGCAGCAAATATTATATTATATAATTTATCAAAAAAAAATTTTCCTTTACAATATCCACAGTAGCCATAATTTGCCGAAATTAATATTCTATGTAAACAAATTGAATACTGCAGTGTCAGGTCACAATTTAACACTATTTCCCATACAGATTGGGCAATTTATCATATTGATACTAATAAAAAACATTGAAATATTGTATGGATTTTATATGTGGTAGAGCCATGCTGCAGCTATATTAGTAGTATAGTTGTAGCACAAATGGGTCAGCTCGACCGGGAAAGGACCACGCTTTCACAGAATACCAGCGTAAAATGGCGGCTTGATGCTGCTGTGTTTCATATGGTGAATGTAGAGAACCGGAGACCCATTTTACTGGAAAAGAGGCATTCCATCTTAGTCCTCACGGGTGACGACACATCTGCATTTTGATTCTTTATTGAAGATAAATGTGGATGTCTATGGGTCACAGCAAACCACTTACCATCAGGTGGACTGTGTGATTGTTTGTCACCCTATCCTATAAAAAAATGGATACTAACCTGCCAGGCAGGCACTCTCTCACGGAATTTCTCATTAATCATAACTATTATTGACATCATGTGTGCATGAGAAGCTGCCCCCGCTTCATAGTGTGGCCACAGATAGTTTTCCAGGTACTGTGAGAATTCTAGCATCATGATCCGGCGAACCGAAAAACTGAAAAATATAATTAATATTTGTTACAGAAAAAAATCATTAATAAACAAATTTTAACCATCAGTGTACAGTACTAACCAAAATAAAAAAAAAATATATCAAAAACAAATTTGCACTTTTAAGTAAATAATATTAAAAATTCCCATTTAAAATATTTTATTCTCTAGATCTTAATTATTAGTTCTATTTAATAAAAAAAAGAAACAAAAGTGCTTAAGTAACTGATTCTATTGTCTTACAAATAAAATAAATTCCTGTTAAATATAATTACTGGCTAAATTTAAAAAATAAATAGGTCAATGCACTAATCCATGAGGGCATTGACCTTTAAGTCATTCAAATGTTTTAATTCAGTTAGGCTTAGAAATATTAAAAGTGAAAGTGTTATAGAAATTATTTTGGTAAAGAAAACTAAAACTTACTTGGATCCAAGTATCTCTGTTTGATATATTGATTCAACAATTGAAGCATCATAAGGTAAGTGGCTATCCTTCGTTTGTGGTGACCAGTACTGATTTGCAAGCTGTGAACAAAAGGGTAACCATGCAGATTTGTCAGCTAATTCAATGAGCAGTGTTACCTAGATTTTAATGGCCCCAGCATTTATATATAAATACCAGTAGGCTGCTTCATTAGTCCAAAGGACAAAATATCACATTTTGCAATAATAATAGCACAAATAAATTTATTCAAATAAGTGCTATCTTTAAAACAACCTTGTATGTCATGTATTATATACATATTTTATTTTTTATTCTTTGTTAACTTGTGTGATTGACCAATTGGAAGTCATTATTCCCTATTTATTTTCATACATTTGAATAAAGGCATATTTTTAATGTGATAGAAGTATGCTGCAGCATGCAGCAATGTTATGGTTGTAAGACAAATATTATTTATGATTAACTCAACTGGGGAAGTACTGTTGAGAACCACAGAACCTTTTTACTCTTAATGTGAATTTATATCTTAGTCTTTAGTGTCACAATGCTCCTACATTTTCATTCTTTATTGAGGATAGACTTCGGCATACACTTATCATGACAAGGACTGCTAGCTTGTTTGTTATTCTTATTCTATATAAAAAAGGTCTAATAAAGGTTAATTCATAATATGGTCTTATGGCTGAACCATGCATTTCAACCACACTATTGTGATTTTTACATTCCACATTATTGTCGTTTTTTATTGTACCGTATATAAAAGCAAATTAAACCTTTAATTTTATCCAAATGTACTTTAGATTTTGAGAAATTTATGTATTTTTATTACATATACAACATTAATATAGAAAGTATAAAAAAACAACAGTTCCTGAGGTTTTACCAATATTTATTAATACACTTGTCATACTAGTTATCATTTATCAACATATTTAAATAAAACTGAAGATATTGCATTGAAAGCATACAACCTGCCAGTGTGATTTTGTGCTACAGATATTACTTACAGAAAACTTATTATTTGTGTAAAACTCATGAAATACTGAATGTTTAATATACTCTTAATACTGTTAAAAAAAAGCTGTGCAGATGTATATAAGGATCATGTTTTGTAGCAATCTATGGGAGAGGCCTACATTCAGCAGCGATCTTGTGCTGGACTGTTATAATGATGATGATAATGTCAATTAATAATTATTTTCAAAACAATTAAAAAATATAATCAAAATAATGGAACCATTTGTGCTTCCCGGTGAACAAAAACCTTAATTTTTGTATAAAATTATTAACCGTTACAAATACTATTATGTAAAAAGGATTTTATTATAATATGTTTAATATTTTAGACTCAAACATGTAAATAAATAAAATTGCCTTTTTATTATAACTTCTTGTTATATACAAAAAAACTGTACATTTACAAATATAAATTTAGGCACTATAAGGATTTTTATTTATAAAATAAATTTACTTTAATTTAATTAACAAATATTGAGCAATTATATACATAACCCTACTTTTTATTCTTACCTGCGTTATTCTGTCAGCATTGATTTGCGACAGGGTCGGCAAAGGTATTTTAGGCTTTTCCGAAGACTGTGTTGGGTCGACTTTCATGTTTATTTAAAAAAACTACTATTTTAAATATAAATAAAATTAACTCTTCAAACCCAAACAATCAACAAAACTGAGAAACGTCAATGTCAAATGCACATGACATAATGACATTTTTGACAATAATCGTTCGGATTCCTACAAAAACCATGGGAATTTATAGAAACATACTCTCGAGTCTATTCTGGAAATGTTCGGTTATTTAAAAAAATAATCTTAAAATAGCATAGCATTAATGAAAATTCTAAATTTACCTATATCTAATATATATCCGTTCTGGCTTCACATGAATAATTTCTGTATCTCGATAACAGCGCCATCTACATGGTCCAATTGTGAATCTAAGTCGTTCTCGAATTAACTTAATCACATAGGTACACAAAATTTCATCAAAATTGGTCCAGCGGCTTAGGCGGAGTTCAGTAACATTTGGGCTCCACGAACTTTTATGTAAGAAAAGTGTTGGTAGGTTGTTCCGTCACAGTTCTCAGAACGATTTCATCCGAAGAGCTCTTTCTTCTATAAACATTCCCTGATGATAAAAGGGCTGGTTTTTTTTCTCGCTCAAAGGCTAAGTATAGGTAGCTATTCAGCGGGGTAACGCAGCCAGAGTTCTTGGCACCTAACCCGGGGAATAAGACTGTATGATAAATCAAGTTTTTTTTTTATATAATATAATAGTAGTAAAGTAGTAGTTAATATAATATTTTTTAATAATTTAATATGTAATGGGACTTCTAAAATTTAATTACGATAATTCAGGTACATCTAGACATTTATTGGCTATTTTTTTTAATTTGTATAGTACGAAATTTAATCATGAACTTATGACTGGGTGACGTTATATCTCCGAAACTCTTCACCGCTGCATTGGATGACGTTTTCAAGCTACTGGACTGGAAAGGATGCGGTATTAACATCAACGGCGTGTACATCACTCGCCTACGATTTGACGATGATATAGTCCTTATGGCAGAATCTCTAGAGGACCTGAGCACTATGCTCAATGACCTCAATAGTGCCTCCCAACAGATAGGTCTTAAGATGAACATGGACAAAACAAAGATCATGCATAACATCCATGCCACCTATGCCGGTAGTTGTTGGGAGCACTAAGCTCGAAGTTGTTGACGAGTACGTTTACCTGGGACAAATAGTCCGACTAGGTAAGTCCAACTTTGACTGAGATGTCAATCGACGAATTCAACTCGGCTGGGCAGCGTTCGGGAAACTACGGCACTTCTTCTCGTCAGGTATACCTCAAAACTTGAAAACGAAAATGTACAATTAGTGCGTGTTACCAGTGATGACCTATGGAACTGAGACGTAGTCCTTCACTGCACCGAGCTATGGAGAGGGCTATACTCGGGGTTTCTCTGCGTGATAAACTTAGAAATGAGGATATCCGCATTAAAACCAGAGTGACCGACATAGGCCAACGGATTAGTAAGCTGAAGTGGTATTGAACCGGCTATATAGCTCGAAGAACCGACAACTGATGGGGAAAAAATGTTCTCGAGTGGCGGCCTCGTACTGGCAGACGAAGTGTACGGCGTCCCCGCACTAGATGGAGTGATGACCTGGTAAGACATGCAGGAAGTCAATGGATGCAAGTGGCTCAGGACCGCACTTTGTGACATCACTTGGGGGAGGCCTACGTTCAGCAGTCGACTTGAAGAGCTGTAATGATGATGACTTATGACTACTTTAAGGATTACAAAAAAATATATTATTTTAAAATAAATCAATATTTTCATTTTACCAATTATCTGACTACAACAAAACATTTTACCTAAGCATTCATTATTCGGCCGAATAGTACATAGATATTCGGTATTTGACCAAGTAGGATAAAAGTAGCCGAATAGGGAGAATACCGAACAATAGCCGAATATTCGTTGCAAGTCTACATTTTACATATACAAACAATGTTTTAAAATATTTACAACAACGTAACCCTTTGTTTTAGACATAAAAATGATGTTCGATCCGCCCGACTTCCCGTACAGGGAGCTATCGGAAACTTTAACAGATCATTATGGCGCAGAAGATCTCTTTAGTAACGACATATCGAACAACGACTCGGTAATGAGCGCCGGCGAAATGCCCGAGAATGTAACAGACCAGATAGTTGCTGGCATTGATAATCAATTATCGCTTCATTCTAACAACTCCGGACGACATTTCAACGTTGAGAATGCATCTTTTACGGACCTCACAGCAGCAAATTTAGAACGAAATACTGAACTTTATGTTGTTCAGCCAGACCTGCTCAACTTAGAGCCGACGTTATTGGATGATAACATTGTTAATCAATTTTTGTTACCACTAAATATGTCAGCAGGAAACAATAAGGTAGTTTCATTTAAAATTATAACCAATCGATTGAACAAATTTTAGAATCTTCTGTTAATTATTCAAAGGAAATTTCTTACAGGATGTGGAGAGCACTGGACCAGATTTATTGGCTCTACACTCATGTGCTGTATGTCATGAAATATTTACTATGGAAGCTGATCTTCTCGATCATACGATATCTTTACATGCTTCAGATAATAACGTGAATCGAAACCAAAACAATTTACCTGATAATAATGAAATGTTGCTTGGTATGTAAACTTACGATTTAATAAGATTCTATCAACATTTTACCACTATCAATTATCACCGTACTATACACATAAACACACACACTCTCTCTCTCTCACACACACACACACACACTCTCTCTCTCTCTCTCTCTCTTTCTCTCTCTCACACTCACACACACACACGCACACACAAGCGGGCATTCACGCACATGTGCACACATACACAATGGCGGAACAATACCAGGCAGGGAGAAAGTAATGGTTGAAAACTAGCTGTGTGAGACTGCGTATCATTACAGCATGAACTGAGGGCTCTCCTTTGCTTTGTTGATATTTTATGTTTTCATTACCCTTGATGTTTTCTTTTATTTTATGATATTACTAGCTGTCCCTCGCGACTTCGCCCGCGTGGAATTTACTACGATTTCATGGGTTTTCATTTTTTTGCGCGGAACCCTAATTATTTTTCTAAAATAAAAGTATTCTTAGTTACTCCTTATAACATAAGCTATATGCCAGTGAAAGTCCCTTCAAAATCAGTCCAATCGTTTCGGAGATTAGCCAGAACAAACAGACAGACAGACAGACAAAAAGTTTAAAAATTATTTTTTTGTTTTTAGTACCGTATATACTTTCATATGCATTTAGTAAAAAGTTGTTATTTTAAAATTACAAACAGACGTTTCAATTTTATTTATTTGTATAGATTATTTTATTTTCAGACATATGCATAAAAAAAAGTTATTATACATTGGCATGCTTAACCTTAAAGATATATCACGCTCTCTGCTGATCGAGTCAGTGAGCGTATAGCCTACCCTATATAGTATTTATATTATCTATGGCCGACACCTACGCACTAGTGACGCTGCTTCCCATTATAGTCTATGGATTATATCACCTAACTTTTTCTACTTATCAAAAGTAATAAGGCACTTAACACAAATAGATGAAAATTGAATCCATAAATTATTGCTCTTTACAAAATGTATCCATCAGGTCATGCTTACTAAAAAGTTCTCCTTTTTTTGTTTATAAGCCGGATTCGACTAACACTCCACTGCTGACCTTGGGCCACTGCTCCTAATACCAGAAGTTTCGCATTTTTGGGGCTGCTCCCCGTCATCGGTATGGGTGTATTGTTTAAGTATCTCATATACGCCAAATGAGATAGTTTTAGCACCATCCGTCTGAGGCCTTGAGATCTTTCTAGCATTTGCTTGCAGTCGCCTCTTACGACATCTATAATAATATGGGTCAACAGATATTCTTACGCCGCACTGTCGGCATATAACAAAGCAAATTATTCTAGCTTATTAATAATATTGCATGATTAATAAAATTAAAGGAATTATTTGTTTTCAAATTAGAAACGAGTAGTGGAAATCAAAATTTTGATATGGACTGGTTAGTGTGCTGTATATGCGAGCGAGTGCTGTCTACAGCTTTGGAGGCAGAACCAAACGGTGAGGATATCACACTTGAACAGCATCTAAGTGAACTAACATCATATTATTATAATATAAGAAATACATTTCAAGGTTATATATTTGTCATTCACTTAAATACTCGAAGATAAAATTTTATAATTATTCAGTATACTTGCAAAAATTAAAAGTTCTAGAGGTTTCATTGGAGAACGGATGGATCTGATGATTTTGTAAATCAAATTTTATTAAGTAATTTATACCTACGGGTAAATTAGAAGGTCTTGTCTTAGAGCAAAACTTATCCCGGGGCCCTGTTTTAAAGTAAAACAATTATTCTCATAATAACACTACTAACAATTAACAGACAAAACTCTCATACGATAAGAAGAATAATGTAGATTTGTATTAGTAATTTGGCAACACATGGACTGCTCAGAAAGTTATGAAAAAATAAAAAAAAACCTTGTTAGTTTTTTAACGTCTTTTCAAAGAACTCTTCAGTTTCATGCGTCCAACCAATTTTGAACACTTTTTCAAGCTTAAGCTTTTTTAAGCTTAAGTTATAAGCGTCTTGACTTTTGATATTGCATGAACACGCGGAGCCTCATGTTCGGCCGCAGCAGTGAATACTTCTAGCAATCAATTGGCAATATACAGAAATAATTTCGACGAGACGAGCCTGATTTAAATTTTAGTAATTATGTCACAGCACCCTTTCACGCGGATCTGCTTCCGATTTCGAGCAACGATGAGATTGTGCGGTGCCCAACGCAAGACCTATCTTCCTCACGCGAAGATGTTCGTAAATATGATTTTGTGAGCGGCTCCTGAACTAATCTGCAATTATATGCTGAATCGGTCTATACATAATTCGCCTATTCTTTTCAATTAAATTTTTCACTGCTAGCATGTTTCCTTCCATAACATCCGTCAAAGGCGACCACTTTTTTCATTATCTCTCAAAGTTAGTTTCTACTACCAAGCTAAAATTTGTTATATTATAATAATATATCTAATATACTTATCCATAAATGACATTTGAAGTCTATCAAATGATTCATTCGGTTTTAGGCTACATTTGAAATCGTAAAAAATCATCGCGTGAAAATAATACCTACTCCCGACGCAGATCAATCTTTCAATGAAACATGATATATTTCAATATATCTCGTAAAAATGAGGTGAATTTGAAATTGGAACAGTTGTATTATATATACTTGTAAATAGTTGTATTTTCAAAATAAATAATGATTGGCCACTGTCTCATACAAAAAAAACTTCTATCGCAAAACTTTCTTCGCAGCCTGTCGTACATAATCACCGCTCTCGCGACAGCTTGAAGGATATCATCATTATTTATTTATATGTAGAGTTTTCGTGATGAATACAAAAGGTTTTACTAATATCTTATATATCTTATATGCTTTTGCATGTTTTATTATTTTAACAGAACATCTTTTTAATTATAGAACAGTTATGTTGCAACGATAGTAGTGGTAAACATAATATTTCGTCACGAAAACTGAGCGCCATGTACGTCTGCGACTACTGCAGTTACTTGTTCGCTGACGGGGAGGCTCTGGACCGACACCGGCTCACCTGCTGTTTACAAAATGGACCAAGTTACGTCTCATCAGCGGTAGGCAATATTCCATTTAAAAAAACATGCGTGATTGTCGTGGAACACTCGGTTGATTGGAACGAAATTCCTTTCGTAGTATATTATTAATTATTATTGATAAACATGTTATATTATTGATTAACAAATACAAATAAATGAATTATTAGCTTCTATTAAAATGAAAGGCAAGAAAAGAAAAAGTGCGTGGGAGATGGATATTATTCCATATCGCTCGCACTATAGAAAGGGGGTCGTGACGGAAAAATCTTACACTTTTTCTCGTATAGCCCCCATCCGTCAAATTCGGATGCTTGCTGCTAAATGCTGCTGTGTTTCGTATGGTGAGTGTAGAGAATCGGAGACCCTTTTTACTGGAAAAGAGACATTACATCTTAGTCCTCACGGCTGACAATGAATCCGCATTTCGATTCACAAACGAGGATAGATGTAGATGTCTATGGGCCACAGCAACCACTTACTATCAGCTTGTTACCTTTATCCTATAAAAAAGCAGCATAAATATTTTAGTTCTACTGCTTTTTGTTTGATTATAATAATACACTCAATAAATAACCACATGAAAGTGATTTATGTAACTTCATTTTCCTTTGGGAGATACGTTATTTTGGTGATCAATTATTAAAATAAATCTACAACTTTTAAGGTACAAAATAAATACAAATTAATATTAAAGACACTGCCTGAGCGTCTTTTAAGATTTTTTCTTAGCTGTACATACTAAAGCAACGCTAGATGGCGGTAGTCGCTTTTTACCTTCGTAATTTATACACCATCATTTTTAATATTCCAATGGTCAATCAAATGTTATAAACATTTTACATAATGTTAGGATCAACTTTTATTAAAAAATAGATTAAAAATAATTTTGTCTATAGATGACGAGGGTAATTAATGCGTTGAGACAATTTTATGAGGATACTGATATGATTCTAAAACAGTATTTGGTACTTAAGCTTAACATATAAGTAATTTAAAATTGATAACAATTTAGCGTTACATTTTTCAAAAGTATGTAATACTTTTACAGGGTCGAATCAATACGGAAATATCTTCTTCAGATTTCCCCGAACTATTAGAGTCTTGTAATAATCATGAAGGACGAATTCTGTCAATCGAGGAGCAAGTTGTAAGTCAAAAACCTCTGCAAACACGACAAATCCGGCGAGCGTACTCCAAATCTAGCAGCAACAAGATGTGGAACTGTGGTTCCTGTAACCAACTATTTACTACGGCCAGGTAATCTTTTCATTTATAATCGTGAGAAACGAATAAACAAAACCTAAGACTTTATTTGATTATGTTAAGATCATTATAATAACCGGGTTCTAAGAGATGTAAGAGGTCCATTGCTGAACATAGGCCTCCCCCAATGAATAATGCCACAAAGACAGTCCTGAGCCACATGCATCCATTGACTTTTTGCATGTCTTACCAGATCGTCACTCTATCTAGAGGGAGGTCGCCCTATACTTCGCCTGACGGTACGAAGTTGCCACTCGATAACCTTAGTTTAGTTTTGGTTTAGATTCAATTGGACGCGGTAGGTGGCGCTGTGGTTGAGATCCAGAAATTCCCCGTGCGAAGCCGGGTCTGTAAAATCAAAATAACTGGCATCTAGAGTTATTTACATACCATTACGGCCTTAAAGTCTACTGCTGAACAGCGCTCTCCTCCATAGATTGCCCCATAGTTCCTTCCTTGCATTACTCTCTACCTGTTCGTAAAGTTTCATCACAATCGGTTTAATCATTCCTAAGATTAGCCCGAACATACAGTTCTCTGGATATTCTGAAATTAGTTTAATGTATGTTATAATAGAAAATAATTGACTGCCGGTGTATGGTCTTGGTATACCACACATCCTTTACTTGATCTGATGATGTATGATTTAAACACAATCTTGAGAAAAAACAAATATTTAATGAGATTTCACAATATACGGAACTTGGTAAAAATATAAGGTTGAGTCACGCGACCGTATTGGTAGGCAAACTCCAAAGCAAAAAATGTAGAATATTAAGGTGGACGCTCCACGGTGGCCCGCTAAATTCAAATTTTCTTACGTTTTTTGGAATTTGCAGGTCAGGCTAGGTTGTATATTTAACAAAATATGATTCGCGACCGTAGCGATTATGTGTTTACAGAATTATTATCATTAAAATCACCAATACAACCCTGTAAGTTCATATTAACCCTTTGAATGAGTTTTTCTGGAAAAACACATCTCACTCAATTTCTGTAAACACATAATCGCTGCTGTCGCGAATCATATATTGTTAAATATACAACCTAACCCTGACCTGCAAATTCCAAAAAACGCAAGAAAATTTGAATTTCGCGGGCCAACCTGGAGCTTAAATAAGGTCGGTCGCGCATAGTGTTGTACTAAAATGCCGACTCGGGAGAATGCACGGTGTTGCATCGTACAGCCGGTGTGAACTACTTTAGCCGCTCACCATCAGGTGGACTTTAAGTTCCTTTGTTATTTCAATTTTATAAAAAAAATGCAACGGTTCTGGATTTGTATAAATTTTAACGTCAACACAACATAAAAACTAGACGTAACCCGTTTATAACTAAAAACTAGTGGTTTTCTATTAGATATCCGCAAATTTACTGGATATTTTGGTCTCTTGATTCTCGACAAAACACGGAATAATTTTAGGCAGACAGACAAAAATTTTAAAAACGGGTTTTCTTGTCTTAATAGTATGCAAATATCCCCTCAGCTCAATATAATGCAGTTATTTCGATATTACAGACATACACTTAAATTTCATTTATATATATATATATATATATATATATATATATATATATATATATATATATATATATACATATTTACAGATTTATATGCACAGATTATAACCAAAGATCCGCTTACAGATCTTATCGGCACTATGTTCATTGCCTATAAATATTACCAAAGTATCGCTGATTCTACTAACTTTTCCACAACTATTTGACACAGAGAGTTGTATCGTCACAAGCGTGGAGAAGACAGGCCTGCAGGTGCACCTTTAATGGCGTACGTGTGCGACGAATGTGACAAGGTGTTGGGAAGTATGTGCGCGCTGCACACACACAAGAAAATGCACAAAGTCTCCAAACCCGTAATTTATTTTATCACTTATCTACCTTCCCATAACGTTTAAATAATAAAATTTAAAAAAAAATAATAGAGAAAAAATATTATCTTATTTTTGTTTCAAAATTTACAAAATTTTCAAAAACAGTGACCGTTTCTGTATAAACAGTAAATTCTTCTCTACGTACACACCTGACTGGTTTTTGTTAAATTTTTCTGTAATCCACTCTGGATTGTTGAATGTGTCTGCATGTGTGTTCCATTGCGTTATGGATGAATGTGTCTTTGTTGACAATTTTTATTTACATAAAAGAAAGTAGCCAGTGATTTAACTACATATATAACACGGACGTTAAGGATCGTCTCCATCTTTACATCAAATTTTCTATAGAGAAGATGGCGGGGTGCTATTATATGCTTGAGAGCCCATAATTCATGTAATTAAATCTTGCATTTAATTTAATTCTACGTTTAATTCGAGGTATATCGGACTAAATATTAATAATTAAAAGATCAAGGTAGCCCGGGTTATCTATGATATCACGACGTCAAACGGATACAATTCCCTGAGACCGTGTTGTAAAACACTCGAAACTTCATGTCTTAAAAATTGGTTAAAATAAAATAAAATAAAATCCCTAAAATTAATTTTATTCAGTGTGTAGTATTCGCGTCAATGTCCTTTTTGAAGTAAGAGTGAGAAACGAGCATACCGACCGCCTGCTTTTAATTAGGTGGCCTATCATCATTGTCATATAGACACTTTCATCTATTCTCAATTAAGAACCAAAATGCAGAGGCGCTATCCCCCTGTTGTGGTTTCTGTGTCTTTCTGTGAGAGCGATTCTGTCCGACTCATATGTGCAAGCATAAAATGCAGCGTGGCTCTACCACGTATAAAAATGTAAGGTCCGTCAACATGCATTGGCGCAAGACGGTGGACTCTTCATGCCCTAACCCTCTCAATAATGAGGAAGTCCGTACCCAACAGTAGGTTTTATTTAGGCTGTAATTTTAATACAATATTAATATTATGTAGCTGTAGAAGTCTATGGGCCACAGCATCCACTTACCATCGTGGACTGTGCTCGTTTGTCACCCTTATTCTATAAAAAATGTACTTAAAGTAGCGTTATAAACGCTACTTTAAGATAATATATAGAATAGAAGTCTCTATTTTTTTTATAGGAGAGGGGACAAACGAGCATGCGGCTTACCTGATGGTAAGCATTGAGTTAGATGTACTACGTACTAGAGAAGCCATTCCGAACATTGACTATGTTCAACTGAACTGTACTGCAATCCGTACAAACGAAATATTGCGTAAATTGAAGATTTGTGAATTCCATAAAATAATTATTATTACATTTTATTTAGAAATATAACATGTTTGTTTAGATGAAATTAAGATATTTTATATTAAATTCTTATGTTTATTTTATATTAATATCTTATTTTATATCAAATTAAAGTCTTCGCGTATGCGCGGGAGTAGTAGTCGCATAGAGTAGGACAGAGTTTTTGTTTGAAATGGCTTCTCTAGTACGTAGTACATATAACTCAATGATGGTAAGTGACTACCGCCGCCCATGAACAACTGCAACACCAGGGGAATTGCAGATGCGTTGCCGGCGTTTTAAAAAGGAGTAGGCTAAGTCACACATAAAAATTTAAATTATTGACGCGCAAATAAATGTGTTTAGTTGTCTGATTGTCGTTTTCGGATATTTTTGTTGCCTGTGGTACGACCGCCACTGCTTTGGATATGCTGAAGTTAGTTTCAAATTTGGTATACTAGAATGTTGTTGACTGCCACTTACCATTAGGTGAACTTTGAGTTCGTATGTCACTTCAGTTTTATAAAAAAATGGAATGATTTTGAATTTGTATAAATCTTAACGTCAAAACTCAAAAACTAGACGTAACCAGTTTGTATCTAAAAACTACTGGTTTTCAATTATATTTCCGGAAATTACACCGGATAATTTGGTCTCTTGATTCTTGATGAAACACGAAATAATTTTATTACTCGCCTAAAAATACCAAAATTAATTTACTAATGTCAACTTCCTTTTTCGAAACTAGACGCTTATCTCTGGAACGTTTAGATTCCAATCGCTATCTACCTTTTATATACTCGTATGTAACTAGCTGTTTCCCGCGACTTCGCCGGCGTGTTATTTGAAGTTTTTAATTTTTTTGCGCGGAACCCTAATTCTTTTTCTAAAATAAAAGTAGAATAAGTTACTCCTTGTGACATCACCTATCTGCCAGTGAAAATCCCGTCAAAATCGGAGTTTCGGAGATTAGCCGGAACAAACAGACAGACAGACAGACAGACAAAAACTTTAAAAATTGTATTTTTGTTATTAGTACCGTATATACTTTCATATGCATTTAGTAAAAAGCTGTAATTTTGACATTACAAACAGACATTCCAATTTTATTTATTTGTATAGATTGATACATATGTAACTCTAACGGAAAATTATAGCAATCAAATAAGTTGCATTTGAAAGGAAATCTATGGAGGTAACAATATTTTACTTAAACATTACATATCTTTATAGGGCTACCCGTGTAGGGTGTGCGGGCGTCGCTTTAACCAGTCTGGTCACCTGGCTATACACATGAGGATGCACACCGGAGAGCGCCCCTACCCCTGTGATCTCTGCCCCAAAGCTTTCAAAGTAAAGGTAAAAAAAAAATTATTTCTTTTTAATCGTAGGAACGCGAATTGAACCTTTAAGTACGCGATACTTAAAACTTCAGTGTCTCCCATTTTATCTAGTGAAGTATCTAATAGCCAAATTGAAAGATAAATCGCCATTGTTTATAAATAGTATATTATTGACTATAATATATTTATGTTTTAACACAAGTCTTCATCTTCCCAACACAGTGTAAGGGCGCGTTCCGACGACACGCACCGGCTACGCGCACGCCAAGCGCGTCAGCACCCGCGTCTAACACGCTTTGAAATTTGTTGCATATAATTTGAGTCTTATGACAAATCAATAAATCTGTAATTATATATTAAATATAATTATAATTATATATTAATAAATTAAATAATTATTAGAGTCTATTAAAATGAAGCGTCATTTAAAATAAAATATACTATGACACATGGGGTAGTGACGAAAAAATCGTACACTTTTTGTCACCTAGCTCCCATTCGCCAAACCCGTACCGTCCGATAAGGAACATCGTTCCAAAAAAACCACCCCTAAGGGCTGCAAAATAGAGAATAAAGTTTTTGATGTAACTATTTAGGTTAAATTGCGATTGTGATATTCCTTTGTCCATTCAAAAGAGTTAAAAAAAGATAACATTTAAGAAAAAGTATTTCAAAAGTCAATAAAATAAATATTAAAAAAGAAAAAAAAAATTAGTCTCGTAGTTTACGTTAGAAATAAACATTTCCTTGGTTTTCTTAAGAAAGAACGTAAAGTAACGATCACGATAAGTATGACGGTTGACGGTCGAAGTTTTGACTGCCGTCATAAATAATTTATCGTAACGTAACGGCAATGTCCGCGCAAACAATTGAATGGAATGTTTTGCTGGTTATTGCTTTTTTGCATGGTGAAAATACAAATTCGGCCTTTATTATTTTATTTTACGTGGCTGTACCGAGATACATACGTAGATTCTGGCAGCGGCTCGTGAATTGGTCAGTATAACTACGGGAAAGAAGGGCGTCATTTCTTTACAGGTTTTCCTTTTATTTATCTATTTATATAAAAAAATGTAACCTCACTCAGTTTAGCAATTTTTTTAACTTTCTTACAACAAAATTTACTCTCACACTAGCATTTTCCTGTATCGCGGAGGCAGTTTACATACATAAATTCATCATTAACCCGTAAAGTTTCATTGCCTTCTTGTCACCACGCTTGGCAGGTGGATTGGCGGTCATAGCACTAGATGTGTCGCACATTTGACACTGCTCCCCCCCCCCCCCCCCCCCCATCGATCTGTGTAATTTACGACTGTTCTAAACGAAATATTTATACCATAAATTATTTTCATTTAATATGTAGTAGTAGATTAGGATATCACGTAAAGAAATTCCGAGCATAGGCCTCTTTATACCTCGGGAATATAGGGAAGGAATCTACCTAAAAATTATAACATTTAGAGTTTTCATCAACTCTATACTTCTGTAGTAAGATGTGTTGTGAGGTCATTTTTATCAATCTTACTCTAAAAAAACAAATGGTCGGAAAAATACTCATTATATAAATTAAATAAAAATAAACTCATATAAGTAATATTTTATTTAAGCAACAGCGACATCTTTTGTTTGCATAAGCAATTAATATAATATTACGCACATAGTTTTACATCAACTTTTCAGATATATACATACCTTACGTACAAAATGAACACTTCGAAATGAAATCATCATTTTCTTTATTTAAGCATATTATTGAATATACGATACGGTATTTACAATTTTTTAAGGCGTACAAACTTATAGTATTTACTAGCTGACCAGGCGGGCGTCGTTCTGCCCTTTCCGACGACCATTTGCTTTCCTAAAAAAACTCCTGAGATTAGCAATAAAAAAATTGAGGCTCACTTATCGGGATAAAACTGTCCTATCTCTCAAGTCGGGGCAAAATGCACACAGTGTGTAAAATTTCATTGAAATCAGTTCAGTAGTTTAGGAGTCTATCGCGGACAAACAATGTGACACGTAATTTTTATATATAAAAACTAGCTCGTCAGGCAGACGTTGTTCTGACCTTTCCAACGACCCTTCCTATAAAAATCCTTAAAATCGCAATTTATATTAATAATTACTATTCATACTATAAACCACTATACACTACAGATCCAGTTATTATTTTGTAAAAGGTTAAAAATGGACTTCACAGACCGAAATTAAATAAGTTTTAGATAAAAGATTGTTCATAATTTCAAGAATGATAACAAGAATACCACTGTCTACGTCATCACTCAAGAATGAGCCAATAGTTAATTGATGTGTTTTTTTTTTATATTCTACTAAGCCAGCGCTTATCTACGATCCCACCTGATGGTAAGTGGTGATGTAGCCTAAGATGGTGAAGCGCACCGACTTAACAAAAGCCTATTCACTCTTGCCTTGAAGACACCCACACTATAATCGGATGGAAAGACAGATGCTGGCAACTTATTCCACTCCTTTGCTGTATGCATGATGAACGACGTGGCGAACTGTTTAGTTCGAATGCGTGGTGACTCAACACCGAAAGGGTGGAGACTGGCCGAACGTCTGGTTGTCCGATGGTGGAAGGGAGATGGAGGAATTAAATTATGCAATTCTTGCGCACACTCTCCGAAATGCATCATCATCATTACAGCCTTTCATAAGTCCATTGCTGAACATAGGCCTCCCCCAAGGAATGCCACAAAGCAAATGCATTCTGTAGAAAACCGAAAGGCTGGCTACTTTGCGTCTGTGTTTGAGGCTGGTAAGATTGGTTTTAACCAAATTCGGTGCACCAATAAGCCTCTTAGCACGCCTTTCCATTGAGTCCAAAGCTGCTAGGTGGCATTTTGCAGCACCAGCCCATATATGGCAGCAATACTCCATGCACGGCCGGACTTGCGCTTTATATAATGTAAGCAACTGTCCCGGCGTGAAGTATCGCCGCACCTTTGCAAGGACTTGGCCTTGGACTCTATGAACCGCCCGAAGTTCAGATTTGTTTGAAGATCAAAATGAAGGCGGTTGGTATATTCCAGTGATACATTTCGGAAAGAAGGAGCCAAGGTAAGCTGCCTAATTTTTGCAGTATAGAGACACGCTTGTGTTTTGGAGGCATTGAATTTCACAAGATTGGCATCGCCCCATTCGGAGACTGTCTGTAGTGTGAGATTCACGCACTCTACCATAGCTTCTATTTCGGACTGGTTTTGATCCCGACTGGCCCGAGGACTTGGTTGATATCTCTCCACAACTATACTATCATCTGCATACCCATAGATACCGGGCATAAGCAGATCATTAATATGCAGCAGGAAGAGAGTTGCGGAGAGAACGGACCCCTGAGGAAAACCGGTGTTAGTCGCCATAGGATCGGATGAGCAGCCATTGACAACTACCCGAAGAACCGTTCACTCAGAAAGTTCTTTACCCATTCAATCAGACCAGGGGATAAGCCGTACGCTGGAAGCTTACCGAAAAGGCTAGTGTGCCAAACTCTGTCAAAGGCCTTCGAGACATCAAGGGAAACAGTAAGTGCTTCCCCACTGTTCTCGAGTGCCTCGCCTCATACGTGTGTGGCATATGCTAGAAGGTCCCCAGCAGACCGATTTCGGCGAAACCTATATTGCCGATCACTAAGGAGGTCATTCTGTTCTAGGTATGCCATCAAGCGGGCGTTCAATATACGCTCCATAATCTTGCGTGGTATGGAGGTAATTGAGATTGGCGGATAATTGGCAGTGTCGGCACGGCTGCCTTTTTTGGAACAGGCTGCACGTTGGCCAGCTTCCAGGAGTTTGTCACTATTCCAGTCCTTAATGAGAGGTGGAACAAGCGTGTCAGCACAGGAGACAACTCAGGTTCACAAGCCTTTAGAACTATAGCTGGTATACCATCTGATCCACTAGCTTTATGAACGTCTAGACACCGAAGAACCTCCTTATTTGTTATACGAATCTCCAACATAGAGGTCCTGCAGTGAGGTAATTTTGGTGGAACATTGTTGCCACTGTCCAAAAGTGAATTGTGTGCAAAAAGAGAAGCGAACAGGTCCGCTTTCTCTTTAGCCGTATGCGCCGGTGTGCCATCTGGTTTTACCAGCAAAGGCAGTGTAGGCCGACAGAAGTTGGTCTCGACCGCTTTGGCGAGAGCAAAAAGCTCTAGTGCCGGATGGTCTGGCAGAGAGTTTTGCGCCAATATGTTTAATGCGATCGAGACTGCTTTCCGTAATGCTTTTTTGTAGAAGTTGGCACTCTGGTTGAAAGTTCTCTTCTTGGAGCTAATATCCGTAGCATTGTGGTTTCGAGCGTCAACCCAGGATAGGTACGCTAAATGCTTGCGCTTTTCAGCTTGGGCGTATTCAGCGTTAAACCATGGGCGAGCTTTGCTACCGGTGGAAGCATCAGAGAAGGGGATAAAGTACTCCATAGCTTGACGCAACATATCCGTTATCGCAACCGCGCAGCTCGACCTCGAGCCATTTCGAAGGTTAAGGCCGGGCAGATAGACTTTTTTAAATAGTTATTCATGTCGTAATAGCATGAAAATGCATGCATGCTTAGGAGGTTTAAGCCCAGGAAAAGACACTTGTTTCGTTATTTCAGACAGATTTATTTTATTTATATGTATCAAGAATTTAAATATAAAATCAGCTTTTATGTTGTAAACTGAAAATGGTAATGGGCTCACGCAGATCTTTCATTATAATGACAGCTATTGTGATTCAGGCGAATCCCTTTTGCCTAGTTATGTGTAAGACGACTCTTGATTACGCGGAGCGACGACCTGCGTAATTATAGCGGCAACTGAGCTGAGTTCAGCTGAAGAATGCGTTCAGTGAGAGTAGGGGTCAGTTGAAGGCTAGTAATGATCATGTCTGTTTGATGATTAATACAACGATTAAAATTATCATTGTCTAAGATAAAGTCAAAAAAATGTTGTGGGAGCTATGTGAGAAAACTATAAAACTACGCCCTACATCTTAATGACTTAATAAAAAATTAACATAACACAAAAACGCCATCTATCGAATTAAACAGGAAAACTATAAAGGATTTATATAATGTTAATAAAGATTAAACTAAATATACTATATTGTCAATAATGTTACGACCGAAAGCACGATACTTGCAGTATCAAGAATGAGTGACCATAAATTGCAATGCAATTTATGGGACTTCCCGTTTTCAGAGTGAGTGAAATAAATAATTTATTTCACTGTTAAAAATATTAGTATAGTAGTATATAAGTAGCAGCGTGACTTTTATAGGCTGCTAAAGGAAAAAAAAAACTTCTTATGACGACTAAAGGGACTTCTTACTTCTATTCTAACGTTGCAGAAAGATAATTATGTAGTTTTAGTTTAGTTTTTAAAGTTAGAATACGTTACTAAGAATATAAACAACCGTGTAGTGACGGAGTATCTGCTATTCCATATTGTCCCGTGGGTGTCGTAAGAGGCGATAGAGGGAAACTGAAACAGGAGATGGGTGGCAGCATTTTCCTGATAAGAACTCAAAATAATAAAAAACTGGGATAGCCCACCCGCCTGCCAAGCGTGGCAACTATGGCAAAATCCTTTCTATGAGGCAATCTATGGAAGAGGCTTATGTTCAGAAATGGACTTTTAGAGGCTGTAATGGATTAAGAATAAATTATAAATTTATAATGACTTACAGCTTACAGATACACTACATGCAAAATCAAGTAACCGAAGCGTGAGCCGCACAGTCTCGCTCTCGGTGTTGAGAGGGTGCGTTAAGTGGTGTAATGGGTACCTTAGAATGTATTTATAGAAACCGAAACTGTATGCAGTCTTTAAAAATTTACGAATAGCCTGGTGACCCTATCGTTAGATGTGCAGGTTGTTCCCCGTGTTTTTTCCATACGATAATATGTGAAACGTTGCTGGCAGGTGGAGCGCGACGACCATCGGCGCACACACACTGGAGAGCGACCCTTCGCCTGCGCCGACTGCCACAAGACGTTCACGGCGGCTGCACGCTTGCGTGAACATGCACGCATCCATACAGACCAAAGGTTACCATCACAATAATATGTACTTTGTTTTTTTACTGTCTAGTAATAAACTTAAAAGCAAAGTAACAACCTGTTTAAACATCGTCGTCGGGCTCAGGACTTCTCTAATTTTCCGAAATCTTTATGACGTAGGAAAAAATCCGCCGCGATATTCCAGTGTGCGATTCAGGTTCTATCATTATGTTCTTGTACTTTGTCAAATATTGTGCTATATCAGCTCTCGTTTGCTCTTTAAGGTGTTGGGGATCCCATATGCTTAGCCTCTGAATTACTGCGGTCCATCTACTCGGGTATTGTAATATATTATATCAAAAATCGGTTATTAATTATGAATATTGGATTTTCATAAACACTGTTGCAAGGACAAGTATATCAAAGAGTCATTCACTTGTTCTAATTCTATCCTACCCGTACTTTATGCAAGGCAATATACTTATGTGCTAATACATAATAAAAAAATGCGTGAGTGTCGTGGAACACTCGGTTGGAACGAATTTCCTTGCGAAGTAGTATATTATTATTGATAAACGTAGGTATTATATTATTGATTAACAAATGCAAATAAATGAATTACTAGCACCCAAAGACATTTCAGTTACCTATATATTTAAATCTCTTTGCTAGCGTCTATTAAAATGAAGCGTCATCTATACAAATAAATAAAATTGAAGTGTCTGTTTGTAATGACAAATTTACAGCTTTTAACTAAATACATATGAAAGTATATACAGTACTAATAACAAAAATACAATTTTCAAAGTTTTTGTCTGTCTGTCTGTCTGTTTGTTTGTTCCGGCTAATCTCTGAAACGGCTGGACCTATTTTGACGGGATTTTCACTAGCAGATAGCTGATGTCACAAGAAGTAACTTAGGCTGCTTTTATTTTAGAAAAAGAATTAGGGTTCCGCACAAAAAAATTAAAACTCCAAACGACACGCGGGTGAAGTCGCGGGGAACAGCTAGTTTGAAATAAAATGTTCTTTCATGGCAAGATAACAAAAAGTGCGAGGGAGATGGAGGATATTATTCCATCTCACTTCCTTATTTCGCCGCCAAGACCGTCTGCACTATGACACAAGGGGTAGTGACGAAAAAATCTTACACTTTTTGTCGCCTAGCTCCCATCCGTCAAACCCGTAACGTCCGATAAGGAACTTCGTTCCAATAAACAATAGATTTGTGTTGCCAACTGAAAGCGGTAACCTATAACAAGTCTATCATATATTATGCTATGCGTGCTAGGCGAAGAAAGCAAAGAATTAAAAGTACTTATAGATTAATAAAATCGTTATTTTCTACTAATTAGATTCACGTGAAATTATTACGACGAACAACGATAAAACGTAAAAGGGAAATAAGCAATATACAAGTAAAGCCTGAATAGTTTCTTAGAAATGACCCGATTAGTGATAAGTTGGTGCATTCTTTTAGTATGTCACAATGTAGAAACCATTGTAATCCTCGCATTTATCGCCTTCTCAGCAAGATTGGCGCTTCGCAGCTGTTTGTTTACGTTCTATAGCATTAGGCAATCCAGTTCTCGAATATTCGCTGGCGCGCCAGCTGCACAATCGTTGGTTGTCTATTAATAATAAACTTTATACGCACTGTCCGCTATATACACTTTAGACATAGGTATTTTAAGAAAGTTTTATTTAAATATTTATTTCAAAATTATTATATAAATATTTAAATATTTTTCTACATAGTTACGTTATTTTTTTTTATAGAATAAGTGTGACAAACGGGCACACAGTCCACCTGATGGTAAGTGCATGCTGTGACCCGAAGACATCTACATTTATCCTCAATTAAGAATCAAAATGCAGATACGTTGTCACCCCTGAGGACTGAGATGGAATGCCTCGTTTCCAGTAAAAAAGGTCTCCGGTTCTCTACACTCACCATACGAGACACAGCAGCATTAAGCTGCTATTTTACGCTGGTATTTTGTGAGAGCGTGGTCCTACCTCGGAAGAGCCGACCCATTTCTGCTGCAATCACAATCAATATAACTATATCACTATAAATCAATATAATAGCATGGCTCCAACGTTTAACGTGAACTACAAAAACTTTAAATTCACAATCCTTTACAAGATACTTTTGGTTATTTTACACAACAATCTCAAACTTACTATTCACTTTACAACTACCTACGGACTTGAATGTTTTTCACAACAAAATACTACAAATTAAGCATCTTTTATTAATAATATTACAGGAGATTTGCGTTAGAGCTTTATTGTTATAACGTTTATATAAACGTAAAATAATAATATGCGATACCTATTAACTTTATTAAGAAAAAAACCATTAAAATATATCTAGCTTTTATTCTCTACTAATCTTATGACAATCAAGATGGCAAAATCAGCATCGGTTACAAAAACCGGCAAAGTGCGAGTCGGACTCGCGCACCGAGGGTTCCGAACAAATCTGTAGGTATATAAGTTTAAAATTATTAAAAATATTTTTATTATATGATGTAACTAAAAATTTAAGCTTTTCCCAATTTTTCCTTTATTTGTGCTATAAAACGTTGCTTCGTATCAAATATCAAGATTCTGAGTTCACGGGAAGTACCCTGTTGGTTTTGATTTCCTTGCATATGTCGAAAATTTACGGCATAAACGGCTGTATCTTTTGATTGAGTTGGCTTAGAAGTTTGATTTTTTCACAGCTCTAAGGGACAGTAGACTTGAGTATTTGATATGAATTTCAGCTTGATACCTCCACGCGTTCCTGAGAAAAAGGGTCTTCACAGACAGACAGACAGATAGACGGACAACAAAGTGATCCTATAAGGGTTCCGTTTTTTCCCTTTGAGGTACGGAACCCTAAAAATACATGATTTTTTTCTTTAAGAATTTTTCTCATACTATATTATAAAGGTCAAGTCTTTTTACTTCCTTCAGACTATCATATTTCTACATCAATAAATAAATGTCCTTTATGATACACAACAATAAAAACACGGTCATGAGCCACCTGCATCCATCGACTTTCTGCGTGTCTTACCAGGTCGTCACTCCGTCTAGTGGGGGGTCGCCCGATATTTCGCCTACCGGTACGAGACTGCCACTCAAAAACCTTTCTCCCCCATCGGTTGTCGGTTCTTCGAGCTATATGGCCGGCCCACTGCCACTTCAGCTTACTAATTACTTACAGCTTACTGTTCAGTTTACACCGAACAAGTCCCGCCGCATACATTTGGAGATCTGTCTGTTCAGTTGCCTGTATGCTGTCAAATCTGTTGAAGAATGTAGCTTCATCTCCCGTCTAACAGCAATGAGATTAAGATGTGATCGGAGAGTTTTTGTGTTCATCTGCGGCGGGTCTTGCAGAACTTAGCTCCGACCGCATGGACAGTTTCCACGAGCTTGTCATTCATATCGTCCACTTCATTGCAGTCTTCTAGGCACTGAAAACGGTTTTGAAACTTGAGCTGAAAGGTTTCGGGACTTTGGATTAGAGCACGAGGGGGACGGAGCGTTGACTTCATTAGACGAGACCTCTCCAACTTAACGTTTAGGTTCAGTGTGCCTCTAACCATTCGGTGACCGCTACCAGTTTTCACCCTCGCGATCACGGAGACATCACTGAACACTTGTCGTCTGGTCGTCATAATGAAGTCAATCTCATTTTTTGTCGAACCGTCGAGGCTCGACCAGGTCCACTTCCTGTGGGGCCGTTTCTGGAAGAAAGAGTTCATCATAAAGAGTTCCTCTTTCTCCACGGAGTCGACCAGCTGCTGGCCCCTTGGGTTCCGTTGCCCTATTCCAAATTTCCCTACTTTCAGCTCATCGTTCTCTCTTGTGCCTAGTTTTGCATTGAAGTCTCCCATTAACACCGTATATTGGGTTTTGGAGGAATGCATGGCTCTAGAGATTTACTCCACCTCCTCATCGGGGTGTGCCGAGGTTGGTGCGTAAACCTGTATGACCTTCAGCGAATACAGTTTGGTGATTCTGAGTATAAGGTACGTAACCCTCGTCGACACACACTCGATCTTTACAACGTTGTTAACGAGAGACCTGTGGACGATAAATCCGACACCTCCTTGGGACAGATGGCCCTCCCGGTGATAGAGTAAGTTGCCGGATTCGAGGATTACCGTGTCCTCCCCCTCTCTGCGGACTGCGGATAATCCTATAATATGCCAGCGTAATTTGTCTATCTCTTCTTCCAGCTCCACGATCTTCTCGTCAGTCCTCAGGGTGCGTGCGTTGTACGTTGCCAGGTCGAGTCGTCTAAGTTGGCAACCGAACCTCCACCGGAGATTCTTAGCACCCGCTGCCCCACCGTTACCATGGTCGCCACCGTAGCCAGGAATAGCGGGGCCGCCGGGGACTGGGGGCCGTCTCCTTGTTACTCTCTTCATAGGGGAGTGTTTACCATAGTTGCCACGCTTGGCGAGCGGGTTGGCAACCGCAGTTTTTTTATTGTAATTTTGGCTATCATCAGGAAGATGCTGCTGCCCATTTCCTGTCTATTTCCCTTTGTCGCCTTTTACGACACCCACGGGAAGATATGGGGTAGTGGATATTCTTGACCGCCACTACACGGCATCTCGTATGTACAAGATGTAAAATAACCAGAGCGCGACTTCGAGCAGCTTAGAGCAATCAAATGACGATAAATGCAAGTTCTAAAACCTTCCTAGAATGGAAGAGCCCCATACTCAACAGTGCATTGTTAGGGATTAATAAAGATGAAGAAGATATTGTGCACAAATATTGTCTTTTAATGGAATTTGGAGCCTTGGTAGCGCAGGGGCGCTCGCTATTAATTTCACAGTACGCGAGCAACCCAGGTTCGATCCCCGCCGGCACCTATGAATTTGTTAATTACAATTTTAAGTGCTGATTTACCATGTGCTTGACGTTGAAGGAAAACATGGTGAGTCAACCTGCATGTCTGAGACATAAGAAAGAGAAAATTTCGAAGGCATGTGAAGTTGGCCAACACGCATTGGGGCAGCCCGGTGGACTTTTCC